GCACATCTGAATCTATATATTGGCGTTGAATTTGCGATGATAAATCAACATTAATAGAGAAAAAAAAACGACAGAGGGCACAGGAGTAGGGTGAGTCTATAATTTTTCACACCACTGTATACTGGTACAATGAATACTATTATTTTCATTAGTATTTAAAGTAAAGTAGCAATTCTTGGTTAAAAATATTTCTATTTAAAATACGGCGATAAACCTAATTAATGAGTCTGATGTTTGATTGTTTATATGGATTCAAATATAAATTTTGAAAATTCAGAATAATTTTTTTCACTCTTGCGCTAAACCAGCGGGCCCTAATTATTGATAGTTGACTAATATTATCGTTAGAAAAATGAATATTAATTGCGTGTCAATTCACTACGAATTGTGTCAAACCAATATTATGTCTAAATGAAGAAAATCTTAATGATAAATAATTAGAGCTTTCAATTCTACTTTAAATAAGTATAATACTAAACTTAATCCTTTTTTTTGTGCTTTTTTGGAAAGAAAATCTTTATGAATAAATTAGTTACTATCAATAAAAATTTCTTTTTCTTTTTACATGTTAAATGTATTTTCTTTTGTTCATAATCATAAGCAACAAACTGTTCACACAATTATAAAAACAAAACGAGTTACACTGATGAGAAAAGAAAAAAGATGAGAAAACATCTGGACAAGAAAGAAGTTAAGTTAAATCTCACTTATATATATATCACAAATGTGTCGCTGGTTTACAGAATCGCGCAGAAAAATCATGTGCTATTGACATAAAACTTACACACAAGAAAAAGAACATGGTTTCAGACAGTATGGACGAGGACGGTTCTATGTTTGTCCATTGCTAGTTTTTCTCCGAGCTAATATGAAAAAATTGAGTAAAAATGAGCTAAAGAATAAAGTTGGTTTTCTAATGATATTTGTTCCTTATATGTCTGTTTTTCGCCAAAACAAGAATTATGAAAACAGTAAATTAAGTGGTAGCACTGCGCTCTTCCGCAACTTTATAACCGGCACCAAATGCAAGCAATGTAAGGGCTGTCCAAAGAAAGTAATGTGAAGCAACACATAAATTATATGAATATCCTACATTTGTATAAGGATTGTTTACTGTTTGGAGGTAAGGAAAAAAATATGCACCAGGGTCACGTGAATAAACGCCAAATGTTGCATATGCTGACATGACAAATACAGATGAAAAGTATAAAAGACCTAACGCTCCGTATAAAATAGGTAATTTCTCGATAAAAATGCTAGCTATGGCCACAATTATAGCGAAAGCAAGCAATAAAAGACCAAAAACTGATAAACCAGCTTGTGGATCTCGATTTTGATTAACACAGCCTGAATTTCCAGTACCACTTCCAACGCATTGACGAAAAAGGCCAATAGTATTTCCTGATCCAGCATCAAGCCATACAGGTGTTGCTACACTAATAATTAGTAGTAGTAGAGAAAATGCAGCAATACCAGCTGCAGCAGCTACTGCAATTTTCCCAATTGTCGTTGCCATTGAAAAGTAAGTATGTTTCTAGCTTGAAATTAATAGTAACGATTATAAATCTATGATAAAACAAGAAAAACAATAATATGCTATAGTAAACATGGCAATTGTATGTTATTTATATGAAAATTATATTCGTTGAACTAAGTTTTTTAATTACAACTTAATGATTAGCGAGAGAGAAAGGGAAGGAAAGGAGTAGAATTGAAAGAGAACTACTCTACGTATGATTCTACTGGATTTATAGTATACAATGTGATTAATTAGGCTAAAATAAAAATTTAGTTTTCACTCTTCTCTTCTCTGGAAGTAATAAGGGTCGATTTATTCTCTCATTCTTTAATTCTTGCATAAAATTCTCGGTATAAACTAACGCTCATGGTGTTTGCTAGCATAAAGCAGTTTCACAGTCACTACTCAATAGCGAACACGCAACCCTCCACTCATATTGCATATTTTTTTTCTTCTTCCCGCTTTTTCTTTCTTGTTTATTCTACTCCACTTCTACTCCTTCTCAAGTTGTTAAAAATCGGTGGAACCAAAAAAAAATATAATCAAAGTTTTCAAATATCAGATGCGAAATAAGAAACATTCATAGTTTATATCTACAGTAGCGTAATAAGCGTACTTCTGTCTATAAACAATTCGTTTTCAAATAGAAAAATAGAAAAAAACAAAAAAGTTAACAATTTACTCATCATAAATCTATTGTTCATGATAGAATTAATCATCGTACTATTTTTAAATGAAACATCTCATACTTCGAAATATGGTAGAGAGAAAAGAAATTCAAGCAAAACGAGGATCAAAAGAATAAATGTAGGTCGAAATTGATGGCCAGTTTAGAATTGTTTCAGTAAAGAAAATTACCTACGTGATGTGAGAACTTCACTGGTCAATACAGTCTATAAGAAGACAATAATATGACATGATGTAAGTCTAATCTAATTCATAACAAATGTGATGTGACTGTGCGAACTTACTATTGTTCATGTCATTCTCAAATGTGAAATCATCTAAATGATACTTTCTTCTGAATATATACAACCTTGAGCTGCAGGAAAACAATCAAATCGATACATAGACATTGGCAGAAAAAAGCAAACACTCGAAAATCGACAGCGAACATGAATCACAACAAAGAAAATTTTCAGCTCTGTTTCTTTTATATGTCGATTTTTTGTAAATGTTTATTTTCAATTTTTCTCATAGGCAAGATGAAAAAGAAATGGAAAGAGAAAAAAGAAGGAAAAAGAGAGACAGAAGAAAAAGAATTATTTCTTTGAAACCGAAGTATAAAATGCATCGAAGAAATGTTGATTTTTCTTGTTCGAAGATCAACTTGAAAATATCACACATACGCTCACACCTCGAGAATAAGATGACCATGCTTCAAAGGATTATAAATATCAACACTAGAATATACTTATTTAACAGAATAAGAAAGAACAAATCGCGATGCGTAAGGTCGAAATTTTCTATTGAAGTAGTTTTTCTTCGTTTTACGACTTGTTCTATGCATTCTACTTTTAACAATTGTTTTGTCTTTCTTATTCTGTTAACTGCTTTCTATGAATTGTCGACTAGCGATGATCTTCCTTGAGTAGACTCTCAAAAAAATTCTTAGAAATAAAAAAAAGAACAAAAAGAAATCACGAGGAAGAAGTATCGTTGTCGTTGTTACATTATAGGCAAATGATTGATTTGAAAGAATAAAAAAAGAAAGTATAAGAATAAAAATGAATCAAATTTTCAATGTCATTCCGGCCAGAAAACAAAGAAGACCGACATTTGGTAACGAAAGGAAGTCGATTTCAAAAAAAGAATAGCTTGCTGAGTTCAATGGATTATTGTTAGATCAATACCAGGACGAAAAAAAGTAAAAGAATTACAATGCTAAAAAATAGCAACATTGTATTATGTAAGAAAAAAAAATCTTTTTCTTCACATATACAAAGGAAAATGATGCAATCAATGAAAGAATGAGTAACTACTGTTCACAATTCTTTCAGTTCCCGAATTTAATAACTGTTCGTGGCATAAATTTAAATATTAACTAATGACTACCAAAATATGTTATTCATCGTTACTTATTTCATAATCCAAAAAGATTTTTAGAAAATGAAATAAATCGCTGCGAAGAAATTTATTGATTCATATTCTCAATGCTGAGTAAAGCGCAAAAAGAAAAGAAAATTGTGAACTTTCAGTTTTCTACATCGGTCAACGTCAGGCAAATGAGTCATTATTTTTTACGTATTTCTGGAACTTTCTTTCCCATACTTCTCTTTTTGTCTACTTTAACAGTTGCAATCATTTTAAAACACTTCTCCGGTACGTTTAACCAATACACTATAAGTGCTAAAAAAAGAAATATTATTCACGATGCTGCACAGTATAGATACTGCAATTTTTGAAATGGTCGACCCTATCGAGAGATCCGTATGAATTAACAGACGTCAACATCGTTTTGGTTGCGAATAAAATGCAAGCGTTTGCAATTAACCTTATGATAGAGTATAAAACTGCTCTCGTATGAACTTCCCTTTAGAGAAGACAACAGCTAGTAGGACTGTTATGAAAAATTCACAATATTCATTTTGGAAATTAAGTGTTGCGTAACAATATAAGTAGTGAAAATTGCATTTCTTCATCCTGTTCAACTTAGAAGAGATTCACATTTTACTATAAATTGAACAATAAGCGCTTTGTTGCCGACAGATGTTTTCGTTTTAGCTGAGTTGAAACAAAACTTTTCAAATGTCATTTGGCTTACAGGCGTGCAACGAGCAATTCTGCATATTATGAATTTCCTCTCAATAGCGTTCGTTTTGAAATAACGATTAAATTATTTCCGTTTCTACCATGTGTAACATGAATTTTATCGTTGCATTTAGTAGATATTGAACTATATCTTGCGTTCTATTTCAATGAACATTTAACTGATTTTCCTATGTAACAATAGACGTAGAATGCAATTGAAATGCATGTAAAATATTGTTCTGTTAATCATATCAACCAGTTAGAATTTATTAATAGTATCTGTGAATACATCGAAGAAAAATATTTATTTAGTAAGTAATACAGTGGCATGTACTATAATCGAAATGATTTGAGGCATAAAACAAAATGAATATCATATAGTCTTTTAATGTATTGCACGATTATGAATGTCGTGCTACCGGTAAATGCCAATATTCTGACTATTCAAGTCACGTACAACTAATCCTTATCTGTAATTGAGGATAAGTATTTCTCATCGTCTGGTATTTAAGACATTAACTTGAGTTTCGGTGACCTGAATACAAACGATCAAAGGAAGCGACACTTCTTGAGTCATATACCAAGGAAAGAAAAGAGACGACTATGAGACCTGAATCACTCACTATAGAAATTTTTAGTTACATCCCTATTTGGAATGGAGGGTTTGGTGGAAAAGGCAGAAAGGGAAAACGTCGAAAAAAAAAAGGAAAATGCCGAAAAGAAAAACATAGAAGGGGAAAATGCAGAAATTCTAAACGTCGAAAGAAAAAATTAGAAAAAGGAAAACGTCGAAAGGTAAATGTCGAGAATTGCGTTTTTTGATAATTTTAACGAAAAATAAAAACTTATTCGATCATATGATAAAATACAATAAAAAAAGAAAACTAAGTTTATCAGTAGTATTTTCTTTTTTTGTGCGATCCAAGTAGTAATGCTAGTCCCTTCAATAATTGCTTTGCATTGATTACCAAATCAAAAGAAAAAATTTTCGTTATCTATAGGCATCTTTTTCATCCTACGTTTTCCTTTTCAAAATTCTTCTACTTTTTTTCTCTGGCAGTTTTTCTTCGGCACTGTTATTAATTATACTTTTTCCATTCGACGTTTTTCCTTTCTGCCTTTTCCGCCAATTTCGGAATGGATTAAGTTTTTAAAGTCTCCTCAATTTTTCTAAGATGATGTTTTTGGTCAACTAGAAACCACATCGTGTGGAGTAAGAACGAAAAAGGAAATTAACTACATGGAACGTATTTATGATATTTTCACTTGGTATTTATCATTAAATACGGGCTAAATCTTTTCTTCTTATGGATCGAGATATTCAGATGGTACTCTTTTTTCCTGCACATCTCGAATGAAGAGTTCCATATTTTTAAGCATGAATTAAATGATTTTATCTAAGTTAGATGGAAAAATTATAGAGATTATTCAAATTTTCTCGTATCCTTGAATTCATCATAACCCACAAAACGTCTACAGACACGTACACCGCACAATCAATAAAATCATTCGAAATTCGATACGATCAATTACATGATGAAGATTGCAATCTAGTAATGAATTGAATTAATATAAAACAGGAATATTATTCAGCGAAATTTAATATCAAACCAATGCTCAATCGGTAGGTATGTCATCGGTTTCACCTATAGTTCCAATTATGATACAGTTTAAAACGTTAGTTAACATCATTGAATTGTTTACCATGCAAATTAGAGTACTTAAATTTAGTTTTCTTGATATCTATAGCTGAATGTATATCATTGTTTTCTCTCGGTGAACAATGCATACTATTTTAGACAATCACACTAGTGCAAATATAAACCTTTTCTTTTCGGCTGATATCAGCGCCCAATCTGTGCTGGCTCAATCTATTGGCCAATAAAATCTCAGCAGTGAATCATATAAATTATGGTCAAACGAACTTGGATGGATTACTTGATTCTATTTGGCCTTTTTTTGCCACAAAATGCAATCAATTCTACGCGGTGGTAACCGTGTTTTGATATCAAAGTCAACAAATGTTTATACTAATCTAGCATTGGAACGTTATTTAGCTGAAAATATTAAACATCAACCAAAAACTCGACTTCTACTACTTTGGCGTAATCAACCATGTGTTGTTGTTGGTCGATATCAAAATCCCTTTGCTGAAAGTGATATTAAATATTTAGCGGAAAAACAAATTGATTTAGCAAGACGATATTCCGGTGGTGGTAAATATTCATTTAGTTGATTTTTAGTGAATCATGCTTTATTTTATTCAATAGGCACGTGTTATCATGATCTTGGTAGGTGAATCAACTTCTATTCTTTCTTCAAAATTTATTGATTTAATGAGCAAAGTATTCTCTAGGAAATCTTAATGTAACAATTGTCACAACTCGTGAAGATTATAATCGTAAAAAGAATCTTCATTGGATAGTTAATACATTAAACGAAGCATTTAATTTAACATTACATGTAACTGATCGTGATGATATATTTCTTGATACGTTTAAAGTAACTGGCAGTGCATCACGTCTCGAACGTTTATATGCATATCATCATTTTACTCTGCTTATAAATTCTTGTTTAAATGATTTAAGACGATCATTAAGATCTGAAGATCAAATAAAAATTACAAGTAAAGCTACACCAAGTGTACGATCATCTGTATTAAATTTAGCAGATCGAAACAATTCAATAACATATGAGAAAACTATTGCATTATTAATCGAGAAATTTTTCCAATGGAATAATGAAAAAAATACGACCAGCTGCGATTATATCGATCCATTATTATACTATGAGCAAATGAAAGATTTTGAAAATGAACTAAAATCACAGAAATTTTTGTATCAAGCAACGCCACCATTTGTTTATACAGTTGAACATGAAAAACAACCCATAGAAATCTCCGTATCAAATGGTATAATAACTGATATAAAAGGAAATGATTCGATTATTGACAAGAAAAACTTCTTAGGACAATTATTTCATGCAGTTTATCATAATATTCAAAAATTAAATAAAACATAGTTTCTCTAAATGAAGTAAAACGAATATAAATCATTACTGGAATAAAACATTGATTGACTTGCAGATACGAGTTGTCTTTCTGTCTCTATAATTAGTCTATATACATAAGATATATGTATTATTCAATGAGTCGAATGAATAACTGGTTGAAGAAGATGATCATTAGCATGATTTTCAAAAAAATGGGGTGCTTCTATTTTCGATTTATCATGTCTACGAAGAGAATGGCCGGGTGTTGCTGGTTTTATGGGATAATTGGATAAAATAGATCGTTCAGCAAAATGATAAATTTCATTTTTTGTATCTGATAATGGCTTCGAAAAATTTCTAGTCATTCTTCTAGTTGGACCATAATCATTTGCAAATTTAGATCTAAATCCGTTTTCGTGTGCAGTGGTTTTATTATTTGGCTGTATTCCGTTCACCGATGGCATTGATATTATAGTTCGTTTTAGTGTTGGCTGTGCAGATGGATCAGGATACTTTTGATTAGATGAATTTGCTATTTTTCTTCCATAGACAATATTCGGTGGAGTTGATAGTTGTAGTTGTTGTCTCATATAAGAATCTATGACTTGTATTGGTTGTCTTGTTGAATTTTTGTTTCGCTGAACAATACGTGGTAGATGCGATTGTGGTGACGAAATCGTAATTGAATCAATAACAAGTTCAGGTGATTTACTTTGTATAACAAATGTGTGCCGATATGTTGGTGGTTGTGCACCAGGTTCAGGTGGTGGTGGCGGTGCTGGCGGTGGAATCTGTCGAAATTCGATTTCACTAGCTGTTACTTTATTTTGTTTCTCTAAATATTCAACATAAGCACCATAAAGCGGCCCATGTTGTCGCCATGGATCAATTACTCTCTTGTTCGGTTTTAATACCGGCGAAGGTGAAATCTCTCGACTTGATGTGAACGATTCTTCTTCAAGGAATTCTAATTTTGATGCAAATCGAACACGTTTTTGCTGTGGACGTTTATGTGATGCCGCTGTTGATAATCTCTCAGGTAAATCAGTAGGAACGGTTGACAATGATGATCTTAATGGTTTCTCGATGCGCATAAGATCACTAATTGGAAATGAATCCGCACCTATTATTCAATTAGTTTTGATAAAACAAAAAAAAAAAAAATAAATGAAAATTATTTTAAAAAACTAATCAATGGAGTTTTCGTTGTTGTAATCATTGATGATTTGTAATGAAATGCTATAGAATGATTCTTAATACTTTAAGAGTAGAGTAATGTTCGTTTAAAAAAACAATAAAATCCAAACAAGTGAGAGACGAACTTTTTAATGCATCCGTGAGAATGCATAATCTATTTCAAGAGGGATCGAACTTTTTCAAGAAAGAAAAAACACGCGTAAAAATTTACTTTGACTTGTTTTTTTACATCACTCATCGATTGGCTAGAGAATTCGTGGCGAACATGTTCCATACATGTTTGATTAATCTACTGTTTAATGTTATTGTGCAGGCATATGCACATATTCAGCTTCTTAACAAAATAAAAAACATTTTATTTCATTTTTTTTGGAGTAGTTAAAAGCTTTCTTTTTCCTTTGTCAATTATTATCGTTGAGATTTTGTTCGATGTATATGAAAAAAAACAACTAGAATTCAATTTATTCATTTGACTAAATCACATTTGTGTTTTTTTTCTAGTAGTGCATCAGTGTTAATCATACGAATAAATTTAACATATCGTACAAGATTTATATCTCATGAATCATTTCCATTATATATTTATTGATATCAAATAGTAAATATAGAGAGAAAATAAATCGTATTATTTTTCTTATCTGTAAATATATGAGCATTGAAAAAAGGCAATTTTTATTATTAGTGTTGAAGGAAACGAGAAAAAACATAAGCTAAATATATATTAACTGAACGTGAGTGGTGATATCATGTCTGTAGGTTGTCGTCAAAATATTTCTCACAATTCTTACATCAGATTCAAACTGCCATTTTATTATAAAAAGCATATCAGACGAAGTGAGTAGATCAGTGTTATGGTTTGCTTTGTTTAAGTTGATTGAATGCAATATTTAGGTGGTATGCTTTTTTATATGACTTAAATAAGCAAGCATTAATTAATAAATCTTTGCTTACACTTTCATCTGCATATTCCTTCGATACTATCTGTAAATAAATGTTTTATCAGTATGCCGAGGCTAAGGAACTATCACTATTTCCCCCATTAATTTGATCATTCGAAAGCTTTTGAGCTAATGTATTACGTGTTTGAATACTTTCCAAAATGCGTCGTAGACCAAAAGAGAAAATCTCGATAAGATACTGCCATAAAGAGTGTCAGACACAAATCTGCTGCCCTGCCAAGGAATAATCAGCTTTGATTGGCATTCTCTTATGTTTTCTTAATGTAGGGTCTCTCTACGGATTAGTTAAAACTAATAGATAATCACTGCTTAGAAGAAATATCGATTCTGTCTTGAGTAATGTCGTCGAGCTTAATTCTAGCTATTAACCCTTTCCGACCTGCTGTTTGGAAATTGCCGTATCCCCTAGGGGAAAATGTTACCATATGGCAACACCGGGCCGGAAAGGGTTAAAGTATACAAAATAAAACTAAGAGCTATCTTTTACAAATAAACATTTTGCCTTCGTTCCACAGTCAAAACATCCATATATTCTCGCTGCAAGCGGTAGTTGTGATTGTTTTGCAATGATATAAAAGTGGATTTTAAAATTAGAAGAGTTTACTCTTCTGTTTGACTGATCCGTTTTCGTTTATGCCAACTTCACAACATTATTGAAAATGTCCACCTTGATAGTTACGAAGGCTTCTTTTGTACAAAAATTTGAGTGTTTCTTTCAAATCAGAATTAAATTAAAATAATCTTATTTAAATACGAAGAAAAAAGTACTAAATGTCTTTTTCTACAAGACAGAAATGTTAAATATTCTCGTTAAGATTTATGAAGCATGAGCCAACCTAAAAAAATGAATAAAATCTTGTTTTTTTTTCGTATAGAATCGTCAAAAGATATTACGGTTCAAACTTTTTGATATTTAACTAAAAATGAACATACAATTATAGAGAACGGTTTCGATGTTTTTGAAACCTACTGAAATACTCAATAGTCATATCGTATACAGTTTGTTTTTTTACTTTGAATTTATAAGCAGCATTACGAAAAAAGTAAAGTGTACGACTTCTGGAGCTTCGGAATTCTGCATCTTTTGATACCTGCATGAACCTTTGTGTATGAATAGTAGATGATTAAAAACGTGTCATTCATAATAAGCACAATATATTATAGGCTACTGTTTATTACAGAAGCTCTTTCGATATAAGTCAAATATTTCGAGATGATCGAACTATTTAAGATATTAATCATATTGTTTCTAGATTGTAAAAATGTCTTATCAGATTTCTGTGGCAATTGCTATTTTATGTCTATTCATAACAATACTTGCTGTCAATATTGTTGAGAGTGCTTCAGGAAACGATGACACAACTGTCGGTGATGGTAATGAAGGAAATATTTCAGGTCTCATTTTAATTGCTTCTGTTGCTAAAATTAAAACGTTTGAAATTGGTTTAGATGATACAACTGTTGCTGCAGAAACTGACATTCGTGATACTAGTTCGACTTCAAGAGATATTGCAAATCCTAGTCAATCAACAGTGGAAACACCAACCACATCAACAAAAGATAGTTCTGCAACTAGAAACACTACAAATCCTAGTCAATCAACAATGGAAACACCAACCACATCAACAAAAGATAGTTCTGCAACTAAAAATTCTCTGCACAGTCTCTTTATCTTAGTGATGACAATAAAAATCATTATCTAAAGAACTTGTTTTTCAAAAACAAAAACGCAAACGAGATTTGTTGTACGAACTTTTGTTTTAAAGCGAACAGTCATGTATTCATCTATTTACTCCTAAGTGTTGTAATTGTAACTTTAACAAAACAAAAACAAAAAAAACTGAATGAAGATAATATAGTCTTGTACGTATATATATCTATCAACCATTGACTAGAAATATACAAATAGATATTGTCGTCAACGCGTAAAAGAAAAATAGATAAAGCACGATGGAGATCACTGTTAACAATCTTTCACTGTATAATCATTCTTGATCAAGGTAATAGTTTAACATAATTTCCTGGAAATGTTCCAAATTTCATTGCATTCGGATGCTTGGATTTCTCCATCATTCCACAGTACCAACCATCATCACACATTTCAAGTACATTGATTGTATCTCCAACATGAATTTCAAGTTCATCTGGATTTTGTGGTGTATAATCATAGAGTACTTGACATCTTAAAAACAAAAGCAAGATTTTTTGTGAAACTCCATATAGATAACAATTGAATATCGGAATTATGTTTACTTTCGTATTGGTAATGATAAATTTGGAATAATATTCATTTTTTCTTTAGGTGCTTGTTCAAAATCAGGAGAAATGCGTTCTGGCGTTTGAGCACGTTCATTTTCATGAGATTTTTGTGATAAAATATCTATAGAGCAAATATTTGAATGCATATTGAAACTATAAATTTTAATGTTTAATTTTGTTTTTCTTATTTATTGATGCTTTTATATAATGCAATAAATAAATTTTTAATAGAATGTATACACTATTAAAATATCGAGGACTCTCCGTTTATTCTTGTTAGTCAAAATTTGATATTTATCCTTTTCTTTTGTTTTGAATTCATCGTTCGTTCTATCAGAAAACAAGATGGAAATGAATGTTCAGGTCTATTCTTCCATATTTATCTTAAGATTGTATCTCATAAAATAAAAATCTTTGAAAGTATAGATTACTAACTGCAGGTTTTTTTGTTGATGCTATTGAAAGCATATTTATTATAGCATGTACATGAGTTTATTCTTTTGGAAGTAGTAATTGGAGCTTTTTTGTTATTTTCTAAATACTAAATTACTCATACTAGCGCTTGCCTGGATTTAACAGAATGCTTCTTGGCAAAAAATAAAAATCCACGCGAAATTGAAAGATCAACAGTAAAATGTTGCAGTGAATCATGCTGCCTACTCGCTTATTAGAGTTAGTTTGTTTATTGAAACTACGAAATCGTTTTTGTTTCGCCATCAGTTAGGTGCAATTTTAGACAAGATACTATTACAATTCTTGACGATGTAACCGTTTACGAGCAAAACGATCGAGGAATGCAAAACGCATGATCTACTTGGCCATGACATGCTTCTAATCTATGTCTGTCAATATTCAAGGAAATAACGATGATGATCAAAAGTATGCCTAATTATCTATTAATTTTCGTGCTTTTTTCTATAATGTCAACGATGAAAAAGACAATCAATTCTAATGTTTATAACGTTAGAACTTATATCTGCTAAATACATAAGAATTTGTTGAAGATTATCTTATCAATTATCAAAGTAGAATCCAATCGTAAGAAATCACCTAATCAAACGCTAACAATTGTAAGAGAAAACATGTATTGAAATACGATCATTCGATTAAATTAAAAATTCGTGCACTTCATCAAATACTAAAATTGTTTTTGTTACCTGTTGGTTCTCTTAATGTTTCAACATAAGCTGCGGGGAAAATGCCTTCAATGTGATTGACACGTCCTTCATACCAATAACTATCAATCTTTCTTAATAGAATTACTTTATCACCCTAAATACACAAACATTCCAGAATACTTTCTAATGCGATGATATTACACTAACCTTTCGTAATTGTAATTCAAATGTTTTTTGCGGTATAAAATCATATTTAACAATCGCTTCACCTAGTGTTTCTTGTTCTTTGTCATAATCATTTAAGAAATCTTCGTGTTCATTATTTTGAATTGGAAACAATTCAACATGATTAAGAGGAAATATACCGAGTGAGTCTTGAAATTCACCTTCAAGCCAATCATCATTAATACGCCTTAGAACAACAATTATATCGCCTTTTTTAAATGATAATTCTCTATAAAATACAAAATAACATTTTCATACTTCATCAAAGGAAAAGCGATTTTCCCTACCTAGTAGTCTGCGCATAAAAGCTATGCAGTGCGAGTGCTTTATAAATAGGTTGCGGTTTTAATCGTCTTAAAAACGTTTCATAAAATTTATTAAAACAGAAACAATTCATCGATCATATTTGAACTTACATTGGAGTTCTTCGCTCTTCCTTTTGTCTATTTGATTCAATTAAATCATGGTGGCTGACCGAAGTCTGAAATCGATAACGAAAATGTCGATCAATACACAAAGTTTATACGAATAGTACATACCTGTTGTTCAATCTGTCCATTAGTAACATTACTTGGCTTTTCTATAACAGAAGAAAAAATGAATAAATTAGGTATTATTTAACAAAATTGTCATCAAAAGAATAAACGCTTGCTAGTATGCTAACTAACGTAATCCCATGTATATTCATCTTAAGTTTAAAACAGAAATTATAGAAAAAACAAAAAGATGTGCAGTACAAACTAAATAATGATTCTATACAATTATTGTCTTTCTATTGATGGTTTGTTAATGTACAAACAAAAACAAAAATACTTACGATTCGACTTTCCGATGCGCCATCGAAATTCTAAAAATTAAAGAATTTTATAATGTTCATATCGCAGAACACAGAATGACCTTGACTTGTTGATCTCATCTATATTCATTACTAATTCAATAGAGCAATTTTTTTTGCATTACACAGATTTCATCTATAGGGTTTCTTTACAAGTGCAAAGTGTAATATGATGAATACATTGGTGATTAATTTTTTCTCTTAATTTCAAGTGGTTTTCAAAATGAGAAAAAAAACCGCAGCGTAAGCGATTTTATAATACTGATTGACAAAAAAATCAGGCATCAAGGTGTTCAAAAAAAAAGTAATCAAAGATGTCTGAAGTTATTTTTTTAAATAAAATCTCTTCACGTCTCAAGATTCAATCGCTTGAGTGTGTTGGTCAATAATATATTTATACAAGGTTGAAACTATCGGTAACTTATAGAAGCCGATCAGATTATTGTTACGGTTTCAAAAAGAAGGTCAAAATAATCTATTACTTACATAAAAATCAGTACCGATCTCGATGCTTTTTTTCTCTTCATTCATTCTACTAATCAGTTAACAATCAGTCACGTTTATATACATATATATATATATATATATTTTTTTTCTCTTGTTATCAAAAGTGCACACCTATGTGAATGAAGTAGCTGTCGATATTTTTTGATTAGGTTGCTTTTGATTGATAATAATTTATCATGACAACTCAAAATATGAATATGTGCGGAGAAGAAAAAAAACATATTTATATCTATTCTGTTTGAAGAAAATAATAGTGGCTACAACGATCATCAAATATAGAGCAATAAAAAACAACGTCATATACGAAAACTGTCCCATTAACTATAAGAAATTGAGAAGAGGAAGTAATAGAGGATGTCAAAGAAAAAAGTAATAACTTTCTTCTTAATGAATACAAATTATGTATTTCTCAAAGTTACGCCTTGTTTATTTGGTTTCGATTAAAAAAAGCTTCATCTATTGATGAACCACTTGTTTATTTATTATAGCCAGTCGGTGCATTTTGTTGAGAATTATCCCATTCATCAACAAGTAAACGTGGCGTTATATTATGTTCACGTTGAAGTTTGGTGCGTAAGGGACGATAATCAAATGATTTCGATTGAGGTAAATAATTATCAATATAAATATAATCACGATTCGGACTACTATGCCTATTGTATTGATGATGCAGATTATGATTTGGTTTTGATGGAATGCTTTTTTCATTGTGTCTATTCAGTAAGCATGTTCGAGGGGAATTGTTGTCATTGTTTTCGTCATATTGATCGTAAAATGAGCCATGACAATTGGTTGATAGTGAATCATCTAGTGGTACTGAATAGACTTCGCTTGGTAATGCTGCACCATCACGAAATACTTCGATATAATTTCGAAAACAACCATTACAGCCATGTTCAGGTAATTTAGCTGGACCAGGACACGACACAGGCGGTGGAGATGGGTAATAAGCGTGACCAGTTGGATGATTGTCATAAAATGCATTTTGAAGGACTTCTCGTTTATTATGATGACAATGTGCATGTGTAGGTACATAGTCATGTGTATGACGCATTGGCGTACGTTCATGAATCGTTGAATCTGTATCGCAACCAGTTGGCTTGCATTGATGAGAAAGTGGTAACCAAGTTAATGAAATGTTTTCTTGATTTGGATAATGATTATGATGATGCGTATGTTGTTCCCGAGGAGAAGTGTTTCCTGAATGTCGATGTTCAACTGGTACAGGTGCTGCACGCATTTCTGATAACGGCCGATCACAGGATTTTGATCGATTTTGATCTTGAAATTGTAAATTTTCTTTTGCTAATGTTCTGGTAGGTTTTGAATCATCGTGCCATAGTACACGTTGTTCATGTCCAGGTACTCGATGAAGATAGTCATCATCTCGAGTAGGAATATATGTTGGTTCAGCTTTACGACATGAATACTGTTGAGATTGTTCACCTAACTGTGATGAGCGTTTATCTTGAAATCCTGAATTTGCTCTTGTTACTGCTGAGGTTGGCCTTGAATCATCATGCCATAAAGTGCGTTCTTGTCCATTTTCTGATCTTCGATTCATACGTTCATCATCTCTTGTAATTTGTCGAGTATTCGTATGTGTTGGTTCCATTTTACGATAGAAATATTGTTGTGATTGCTCTGGTATAGTTTCACGTAGTTTTGATGGTGGTGTTGATGATAATTTAAGTACATTTCCTTGATCATCCATATATCGATAAACAATTCGTGGTGTACTCGATCCTGGTGGTAGTGGCGTTTTTTCTGTGAGTTGATTGGAATTTGTCAACACTTGTTGTTGTTGAATTGATTCATTCGAATCAATAGGTTTAGTTGACTTTTGCATTTGAACTTTTGTAATAGTCGTTGATGCAGTTAGTGCAGCTGCATGATGTAACGTAAGTTCCTTAATAATTTTCGCAAGATAATGAACTGCATCAATTTTAACGTTTGGATCCGATTGTGTGCCCTTGTTGTCTGATAGTATTCCAGGAATGGCAAATAATGGTGACGATGGAGGAATAACTTTGTATTTGGTTAGAAATTCATCTGGTAGATAAACTGACGTTGGATTGTTAATCAATGCATCAATCACTTGATAATCTTCATTTTTTGATAATTGTTTCGATTTGATTTTAGTTTTTTTCTTATTCTCTTTATCTTGCTTTTTCTTATCTTTTGCATTGAGTAATGGCGTCTGTTCAGAAGAATTTAAAATAGGCTCTATGACGGATTCTGTTTGTCTTTCCTTTAGTGGTGTAGTAACAATTTCAACTGTAGTAGTCTTTGGTGAATTCTTTGTTGTTTCTTTTCCTGTTGATGGTTTCAATAAATTAACACATTCCGAATTTCGTAAATTCGATATAATATCATTGAAACGTTTATGTAATGCATTATTATGTTTATCATCATTTATTGCTAATGGATTGGCAAGTAAAGCGTCAATAACAGTAAATTCACTTTTTACAGGTTTAGTTTTTGGATCAACAACAGTAGTACGCGTCGTTATTGTTGTATTAAGTACACCTGTATTTGTTTGTGATGGTAAACGTTTATATTCATTGACTGTTGTTTTATTATGATCATGAAGGGCTCGTGTTAATTGTTGAATAGCTTGATGATCGTCATTTACATTATCAAATTGAGCTTGAGCTTTATCAAGATCAGTAGCACCAGTTGTTTTTATAAGTGGAAAATTTATTAGACGACGAGTTTCTTGATTATTAGAGTCTACAAAATTTTCCTGTCTTTCCGTATGTTCATTTGCAATTAGTTGTTGTTTAAAGTCGCTTTTAATTGTTTTCACATTGGTTGATGGTTGTTCAAGCGCACGATCAGCTTCTATTGATGATAATCGATTTAGTGAATTTGTACGATTACTTAAAGTTGGCAATGTTGATGTTGTTGTTGTTGTTATTGTTGTAATTAACTTTTGCATTGGCTTTTGCTCCAATGGTGGAGAATCATAGGTTGATGATTGAACTTGCTGATCGAAAAAATCTTGTCTTGTATTTGATGATGACCTTGACTGATCAGCTTTTGATGTTTGATTCGATTGTTGAGCGTCCATAATTTGTCGAACATTTTGATAATGATGCTGTAATTGTTCATTATATGTATCTGTACCATCGATACGTATGGGTCCCATATCACCATCGATTCGACTTTTAGCTGCACGAGCATAGGTACCCATTAATGGTGGAGTATAGGTACGTGTCGAATTTATATTTGGTGATGTGTTCACGTGACTTGAATTGTAATTCGCGATATCAACAAATTCTCCGACACGATCATTATTAGTAACACCATTGTTATTATTCATGGTTTGCATGCGTGTGTGTGTGTTTAAAGGAATTGATAAAGAAGACGGAGTTTATTCCTTTTTTTAGCAATACGGTTGATCGCGCAATTATGATAAATGACAGCCGCTCATCCGAATCCTCGTAATATGATGATGGTCCGGCGTAAAATTAGGTTATGTATATATATATATATGTATGTATATGTATATATATATATGTATATGCTACCTGGACGTTTGCGTCGCCTACAATTTCGTTGCAATAAATCGTAAGAATAAAAGAGAAAGAAAACGAGACGAGAAGAAACGACGCCTATGTCTACAATATGTCTATAAGTGAAGTCCTGTGAATTCGATAAATACGGGATAGATAATGATGATAATCGATGTTGATCTTACTATGATTTTTCGAATTGTGTCAAGCATATAAATACTAGCTTTTCTGCATTTTCTTCGCTAATTACTCATCAGCAGTTTTCTGTTTCTCTTCTTCTCTGTCTCCGTCGCTCTCTCTCTCCTCCGTTCTGTCATACATATATATATATATATATATATAAAAAAAGCATAGCGCACGCATGATTTTTGCAACTAACGTCTTTGCATTGTGACACTCCTAGAGTTGTAGACGGCGAAGAATAATAAACCACCCAAAAAAAGAAAAGGCAGAACGAGAAAAAACAACTCGTAAAAATCTAAATAAATGTACATAGATGCTAGTGTACAGTTATGATGGCCCTTCAATTCAATTTTTTTCTCCTTCGGTTTTTTGCCTATTGGTGTCTTTACATATGAAAATGAGTGTTTTTTCTCTAGATGCATATGTTGTTGGTATTGATATTGTATATATATTTAGTAAAATATGCAAAGCAAATTGATATAGAAGCATGTTGGTTGCATACGCATGCTGTTCGATTTTCAGAGTAGAGTAACACTCATAATCATGAGCATCTGATGCATACATACACGTTTTATATTACTTTTATATGATATGTTGTGCAAAATAGCAACAAAATAGGAGACGCATATTCAATGAATTAAATATCATATTTATAAATCACGAGATGCTTTACTGAACAAAAGAAGATAATAATCCAGTAGTGTATACAGTAAAAGAGAAGATCTTATTCGTTTTTGTACAAAGCCAATGCAACAGAAAAGGAAACCAATAATTCCCTATACGTGTTTCGTCAAGGTTTTAAGAAAGTGACATAATATAACACAAATATCATTAGCAATGATCATTTTTTTAATTGGTCTTTAAAAAATCGGCTAGTAAGTTATTTGTCATTATTGATTTTCGATTTATCGTAGAGTGCCATTCTATGTATTCTCGAGGTCGAGTTCGTGTACGCGATTTGCATAATAAGCATTTTTTTATAATCTCTCGTACAATTAGAGTCATTTAGATATCGACGCATGATGAATGTTTGAGTCAAAGATGATTTAAAAACAAAGCTCTATTCTGTTTCAAAGTCATCTATGCCAATCATTTTCTTATTTCTTATAATCATAAGAAAACATAGTCAATTATTTCAAAAAGAATATATTTATATATATATGTGTGTGTAGCCATCTACTCTTTGATTTTTTTTTGTTATTCAATGGCTTCTTTGCTTACTACATAAGCCTTTTAAGAGGCAAACTTGAAAAAGAAGAAAGAAAAATAAATAAAAAAAGCATTCTCTATAGTATAAATAGTTAAAAAGTGTAAAAGAGCAAGGACAATTGGTTCAATATATGTACATATTTCAAATATTCTAATGAGAATAGAAGAAAATGAGATTCTGATAAATTATGTCATTTTCCCCGGTTGTTACGCATTCAGAAGAATAAAATGAAAAAAAAGTAATCGCTTTTTATTTCTAAATAAACATTCGTAGATGTTAAAATAATATACGAGAAGAATAAGCCCTGCTATATGCCGAACCATTCAATACGAGTATTAATCGAATTACATGAGCGTATGGCAAATATAAATTTACATTTTACAAGATTCTTTGTTTTATATACATTATAAAAAGAAGGGGAAAAGGAAGCATTTTACTCTATCATCAACATCCTATATAATTTCGTGTGATATAAATGTAGATACACATTTTTCATCGGATCGAATAAAAAATTTTCTGCCTACCTCTATTGTTGTTAGGAAATTTTTGTAAACCATTCGTTGGAATTTCACCACCGCGTAATATTCGTTTATAGATTAATTTTTGATCATTATCCGATGTTGGTATACTTAAAAAACAAACGGAAAAGTGTAAGAAATCATTTAAAATGATTATCTATCGTTCAATTTACTTGTTTGCATTCGAACGTAAATTGTTATTATTATTATTCATAGAAGAAGAAGAAATGCATGTTGAGCCATCATTACTCTATGGAATAAAAACGAATTAGTTTCGTAATGAATAGATGTGTAACTCAAATTAATTTATTGAAGGCTTGATCTAGTATAAAGTCACCTATTGTGTGACTAGACTTAAAATATAAATACATTAACGGATGACTTTTTCAAGTTAAATTCATTTGTAGATGATAAATAGCTGAAAAACAATCTATTGATCAATAGGAATTCGAATTTAAAAAAGTACTGAAAACTTTTTTCTATGGAAACAGTGATAATGCATGAATCAAAACAGAGAAAAAAAATCGTTTTTCGAAAAATCCAACTGATTTCTGCGATATTAACATCTATACGTATGACTGTCTTGAATTAACTTATTAATCAAATTTTTTTATGCACTTAACAATAAATGCTAAAAATCTAAAACCTATTGATGAATTCATTTCTATAGTTTTGCATATAAAATTTTGAAACTGGCGTATGAAAGTGAATATTTATTGCTGACGATCTTACGATAGAGATTGTTTTGAAGAAAATCAGACATGCGAATGTTACAATAACTAACTTAAGCAATCTAAAATATTGATTGATATTAAATTACATGAAAAAAAATTATCTACATTCAGATTTTTCTTATCCAGTAGACTAAGTTTTGTCGAAATCTATCTTCAAAAATTTTCTTCAAGTTTCTACATGTTTTCTGTTATCGAGAATTAAAGATCTTAAAAATCAGAACGAAGTATAGTGTCATTTGAGTTAACTTTTGTGAAAAAAATTACATTTGAGTTTTCAACATGTTGATTTGCTAAAATTTTGAATATGATGTTTTAGTAAATAAACTATAGCTGGCGTAAATAAATGATATATATATATATATATATCAATTATTTATGACCATTTATATTCATTTCTGTTTAATTGATATGTTAGACATATTATGAATATAGCCGCAGGAAAGACAGATTTTATCACAAGACACAGCAAAATATATCCTTCAGTGTCCAATAATATCTAACAATTATTCTATACATAGCTTGATGATTGTTCAAGCTCGCATCATCATTTGTTTTTGTTCTATCAAGTAGCACCTTGTGTACAATGATATATTAAAGGATACGAATCGTATGTTTTGTGATTTATTTTGTCAACAATTTGCTGTTTTTCGTAAAGCAAGCACAAAAAATGAGTAAAATCAATATTTACATCAACTATTAACTAGATCGTAAGACGATGCATTAGTTAACTTAAATTAAGGATGTCCTCCATAGGAAAATATTATTCAAACATTACGTTAATCTATTTCTTGTTAATGATACGGAAAGAAATGTAAAAAGCTTTGAATATAACTCAAAGTGTATACTCCATTAAATTTGAGTATCGTCTTTTCATATTTGTCAGTATGATAAAATTGAAGCTCTTCAGAACTCAAGTACACTGTTCAATTTAGTAAAAACACTATTGTTTTTCTTACTAATTTAGGGTGTTCGATTGAAGACGAAGCAGTAGGTGTTGAATAAAAATCTTCAAAACGCGTAACTTTTTCGATATGATCATTTGTTCGATTTGATGGCGTTCGTTGATCTCTAAAATTCAAAAATGAAAAACAATGATTCGAATTCTATTGGCAAAATATATTTACTTGAGACTTAAATTTGATGTTCGAATAAGTGAAGGAGAATTGTTTTCTACAAGAAATATATTTTGTTTCTTATTGATATTCAGATTTGTTCTTACGATCATTTTGATCAACTGGTTGCGATGCTTTTCTTCTTATATAATCTTCCATAACTTCAAGATCACCGTTAAAATCTTCAGGAAAAGTATATGTTGGTTGATAGGGATTTTGATGATATTCTAAAAATTTGAAATAATTCATTCAAACAAACATTCTTATTCAAATCATAATGATAGACTTCGATCTTAGCAGGCTCTTGAATACTAGACATCATAGGAATACAATAGATAACATCATGCAATATAAACAAAATGCGAGCCATACGTCCCTTTTTATGCACATATATGTGTGTGTGTGTGTGTTGAACGTGAAAATATTGATGAGTCAACAGGATAAAAAAAGCAATTAACACCTACCAGAGACCTTTCTATAGATTATTTATACAGCGCTTTCTCATTGATCACATAAGAGCAAAGCAAGAGAAGGACCCCTTGACAGTTGATTATAAAGTTTCTTACGATCACAATAAATCAAATTGAATAATTTGCTATCGTAAATGCTTAAAAAGATTTTTCTACTCTCTTTGTATTTTATTAAACTGTTATCGGAACACATTGAACGTCTAATGCATCTACTTGACATGCATTGCATGATTCTATACATACCTAGTATATGACGCATACAGAAAGCTATCATGAAGACAACTATGTACTCTCGATCAAAGTTGTAATCGAATAATGTGTACTCTCTAACATTTTGTTCTAATGCATTAGGACAAAGTATTATAACTACACACATAATCAAAAAATAACACAGTCTACTAAAGTGTGTTTATGAAAGAAATGCTCAATTGAAAACGAAAGAAGTGTTGTTATCGATGATATTAAGAAGATTTAAGAAGTAATTATATAAGAATTAAATCTAAATGAGAAACTATTTTATTTTCCATCTTTTTAAACTAAGCTTGTCTGATAAATTCAAGTCAATCAAAAATACATTTTTTAAATATTTACCTCGTTTCATTTCGAATGGTTTATGTAGATGACCATACATATGTCTGTACCATTGTGATTGACTTTTCTCGAAATCATTAGCTGTTGGCTAAAAGAATAGAATAGATTCAAATGAATGTGCATAACATGCTATTAAATAGTTTCTCCTATATTGAATTCATATTCGATTCTTTACATTTTGCCCTATTCGGATGCATATTTTGTTCCTACGAAAAAAAAAACAATATTGCCAACTCGTCTCTTTTATATAATAAATATACACGCACAACCATTAATAATGTGACACCATATCGTCATATTTATGCTAGCAACTGTTTAGCTCCTTTTTGTTCTATTTAATATAACTTGACTGGACATATGTTCTTGTCTATCTATCCTTCACTGTTCATTATGTAATAATAAATAGTCTCTATAGAATGATAGGACATGCCAGTAATAGTAATGCAAACAAGACAAAATGAAAGAACAGAGGTCAAAATGATGATAGTGATGATGATGTTGTTATTATTTTAGTACGCTTCTATGTATGTTATAAAAGCAAGACAAAAATCAACTGACATCTTACGCATGTAGATATAAATGCATCGAGTAGTTGATATTATGATTGTCGTGCATATTTTGTTCAACAATGAAGCGAACAGATATTAACAGTCAATATGAATTATCGATTGACGTCAAGTATTAGCTTTAAAAGAAAACACAGAGCAGTATTCAAGATGTTGAATAACGCGTATGATTAATAATATAATGAGCTTATACTATACTATACGCATATGTTACAAGATTTGTTGCTTTCATGGATTCATTAATTCTTCTCTAATGGAATTCGTTTGGCATAGAATGAATGAATATATTTAATGATAAGAAAACACCTGACTTAATGATCGATGAACTATATGTATATGGACATGGACATAACCTCAGCAAGTGGTCGTACTAGTAACACTCAAGGACGTTTATAAACAAGAGAATCAATGAAAGAACGAATAAATCTGTCTTTTGAAGTTCGTCTCAGCGTGAAATAGTTAAATAAATAAATAAATAAATAAGAAAAAAAGATTTGCTGACGTAGAAAACTATTTATGTATACAATAATTATTTATATATATTAATTAAAAAATAGCATAGACGACATTGATACTATTTGTTTTAAAAATAATTTTTAACTACCTGCTGGCAACGACAGGCGACATTATGTCGTCTTATTTTCTTCATTCTATTGATGACAACTAGCAACAAGCATGAAGTAATTTCATTCTTTTCTATCATATGAGCATGCTGTTGAATGTTCAGATCGATCTAATTGAATGATAATGACGATGAACATGTCAACAGTCTGTATGTGATAATCAAGGTTTAATCAGCTGATAGTCGTTTGCAGGCAAAAGTACAATCTATAGTTTGTTCTTTATATTTATAAGACATGCATAATGATGACGATAAAAAAAATGTTGATGGACTCTCCATCACACTAACGTGTAGTAGAAGAAAGCAAGAACGACGATGGTTGTAGAACGGACGCATGGGTAGTATTGATATTATTATTTTTAATCTATAGATAGGTTCTCTTGCCTGGTCGTTCATTAGTGATGGTACATGAAGCAAGTGTAAAATGAAAGAAAAATAGTACAGACGAAGAAACCATTGTTGGTGACAAGAAAACAATTTTATGATAATTGATATACGTGCTAGTGTAATCATACCAATGAAATAAACGTATGAACGAGGTGCTACCAGGACAACAAAGAAGAAAAAACAATTATGAATTGCATTCTATTCATATCTTTTTTTCTTCTTCTTCTTGATTTCATTCATGGACTTGACATTTTGTGTTTTATGCTTAATCAATACTACACATAAATAGATTCGTTAGTACGATGTTCTATAGAGACAATGTTCGAGATCACACTGAATTAATATCGAAAAGAGAATATCATTTTTTCATAATTGACAGTATGTCAGTTATTTCATACACACGCGATGAATATTTAATGAAAATAGAATATTGTTGCACATATCGATGGCTTGATCTTGTCAATCATTAAAACCCAATGGCGATATGTTATGTTATTATAGCTATACTTTATCTACTACTACATAACTTTTCAACAATAATATGATATTCACTGAACGATACATTGAAACACAAAAAAATTTCTTCTAATAAATCATTCTATTAGAATATATATATATACGAGTTGTTTACTTACCGTTTGAGAAGTAATTTCAGCTTCAATAAATGGCGCAATACCTTGTACACGCATTGAATTGTTAGGAGTATGCTTTATATCAATTTTTTGTGATGTTAACGAACGTGTTTTCGCTGGACAAGATGAAGATGCTGAACAATCAACATTTAACCATGGATTAATATCTTTGGAAAGAGAAAGACAAAGAGAAAGAGAGAAATATGTGATTTATTTTATGTTTCATAGATTGATTTAAAAAAATACCTTTATGAACAGGAATTTGGAATTCAACACGATGAATAGAATTCTTTTCAGATAATCTAACATCATCAGATGAGCGTGTATGTCGATTGTTATTTAAGTCCATTAGGTTTTGATTTTTATCATTGTCATCAAATTTAAATCGAACACGACGTGTCACTGTTGATACTGTTGTCGGTGGTGGTAAAATAGATGTTATTGAAGTTGAAAATTGTTTTGGTTGTGCCATTGTTAAATTAGTGTGAGATGATGACGAATCAATGCGTGACTATTTATACAACGAAGAATATATTACGGTCTATGCATGTATTTGTTTATCAATATTATATTTAGTTTAGCAAGAAATTGTAGCTGCTTTTCTTTTTAAACTGTTTCCGACGACTAAGATTTAAAAGATAAGAAAGGGAAAGCAATTTTGCACACATATATATATATATATATATATAATTGAAAGGAATATATTTGCCAAGGTTAAAATAAAGCCTACAATTAGCTTCATTGTTAAGTCGAAGAAATAAGAAAAAGAAAAGCTGAACAAATCCTATAGAAACAAAATTGAGATGATTTAATAAAAATTTACCTCGTCGAGATTTAATGGTACACAAACGAAATTGAACTTATCCAAAGTTGCATTGTCTAATGTATGGTGTCGACGGCGATTACGTTTATGATGATATTCGTAATGAATGAGACGTGTACGACTTTGTCGGGTTTCAGTAATCATTGTAATATTAATTGAATGGAGAGAAAACGTAACTACTGAAGAGAACACGAGAAGAAAAAAACTTCATTACATTCAAATCTATTTATTTAAATAAATTGAAAGAGAAAAAAATGTAGCATGACAAAAAATTTGGCTCATATCTGATTATAAATTAAGAAAAAATTACTATAAGTATTTCATTAGAAATGCGACTCAATCATAGAAATTTTACATACCGTAACGAATGAGTTCCTCATGTGTGTTTATATACGCATATATATATATATATATATATATTTATGTATATATCAGTTGTTTGCTTTGATAGTAGTTCACCGATCTTCTCTCTCTTCTTGTCTTCGTAGCTGTTTGCTATTTCCCAACTAAGACTCATAACAATTATATAATGCCAGTCAGTTTCATGACAGCTAAGAGAACTGAGCTGAAAATCTCTTCTGCGACAAACGAAGCAACTCGAGGCCGTAGCCAACGTTCTATCGTTCGGCCAGATGATGAAAGATCTCTGTGTACAGATTCTGTCGCGTTCTATTATGACGATTCTTTCTTATTTAGTTTGCCGGAGAGACATAAACGATAGCATCGGTCTACTTATAAACTCTTATGTGTAAAGAACATAGAATAGTACACTAAGACACCATACATGATGAAAATGAAGATTATCCATAGACGACGGCGGCATAGTAGGAGGTAGGCTTGCTCAGTTCTGAGGTTAGATGTTACGTACAAATTGATATTATTCTTCCATTCTTGGTAGAAGGCAAAAGAGAAAGAAAAAGAGAAAAGAAGGAGATGAAGAGAAGTCGAAGATGAGGGAAACAAGGACATGACGTCGATGAAGTCGAAGGATATGCTGTCAAATAATGATTCTTCTCTATATTACTTTGACCAAGAATACAAGCAGATATCTCTTCAATAGTAGAAATGCCCTTCGATGTTAATAGCAACATGTCTTATATACTGTACTTATACTTTTATTTCTTGTATTCTATTGTTTTATCTATATCATAGTAGTTTTCTGGTCGTTGATTATGACCTTTAGAATTGATGACAATGGCAGTTGAATGTATCCAATTTATTCTGGATCTAAACGTAGAATGTATTGAAATATAATTATGTGTTATAATACTTTGAGAAAAACTACAGAAATACAATGATAGTAAATGAAAGGAATAAGAAATTATTGCACAGTTATTAACTAGAAAAAATCAAAGTATTTTTCATTCAACATAAATTAGATGATATATGATGGTCCATACGATCGAGCGAAAATCCATCATTTTGATTTGGCTGTAAATTCTGTTGTTGTTCATGATTCTCCGACTCAAAATTGACCGAAAGCTGTTGTCTACGTCTCTAGAAGAAGAAAATAAACAGAAAAATAAAAACTATGAATGATTCTTACCTCTGCTCTTCGTTTCCAATAAACAATAGCAGTTCGAGTTATTGCTCTTTCTCTTTCGATTCGTTCTTTTTGTCGTTTGAATACAATTTCAATGACAAGAATAAAAAATCCCAGAACTACTCCACCCACAACAAGTACGAAAACACCTATTAGGAAAAAGATTAGAATCGATTCATGCAAGCATGAAAGAAGAAATCATTTCATTTTTACCGATCATATTATCAAAACCAAGTGTTGCTGGTGATGATGAACGATCGGCGCATTGTTTTTCGCTTAAATTTTATATAGAAAATAAAACAATTGAATATAAATGAAGAGCAACAAAAATAGTTATTTTACTTATTTGCATAAATCCATTTATTATCAAGTAATTCCATGAAACCTTTTTCATGAAATGATAATATAGCATGAGATAATGGATTAATCCATGCGTCTTTTTTTCTTAATGCAATGCCATAACTTGATCGTCCAAATAATTCACCTGCCGTAACTAAATCACAATCTTGTGCTGCCTCATATTCTAGCCTTCCTGAATCCCAAATAAATGCATTTATGATTCTAAATGAAAATAAACCATACGGTGATTTTTCAAAAAATCGAACTATCGATACAAGAATGCGCTAGCCGTACGTACAGATTAATAATAATCTGAATGACATTAATACATAGCTTTAGGTCAGAGACGGCGAAACCATGATAAAGTTATGATGACCTTGAATTGATTTGGCTTATTGTTTCAATCGGAGAAACCATTTTAATATGTGAGGTGAAAGCTTTTCCGTAGTGTAGGAATTATAATGCACAGCAGTTTCAGCGAAATCTTTAAGTTCTATTTTGGAATTCGAGAAGAACTTAGCTATCACGATTTATTTATTTGTTTTTCTTTCTGCTAAATTCAGATCTTTTCCTATGTAAGATTTCCCTAAAAATGTAATTCGTATCTAACTCTTAATAAGTGTGCTAGAAAAATTATATATGCTTCTGCTACAACGATAAATCAACAAACTTATTCTCTAGGCAATCTTTTAATCAAATCACATTATTAATTGTTTTCACACGGAAAATATTTGTTTTGCATTAGGATTATAATGAACTAAGATATTCATTTAATTATACTTAAATATATTTCACTAATGAAGAAATCGTTTGCTGTCTAAAGTTTCATCCTATATTATCAATTGTTCTGTTGTTGGTTTTTTTGTGAATGAAAACTTAGCAGAAACAAAGTACTATTCTATGAAATTATTTTTTCAAATATCCTCGATACAAAATAAGCAAAACCAAAAAGAAGTAAAAAGTAATTTGGCTCGTGTAAGCTTATTTGAATTTATTTACCCTGTTCTTAAATCTGATATGGCTTCTTCAGCAGTTAAATAATTTCTTGATTCCATTATTCGATACATGGTTGAAAGTTCTAGGGAAACAAAAATCAAGATCAAAACTTGTTATTCTGTTTTCTTCCGTTTAATTCAACGTACCAACTTGTCTTTTGAAATACATATCAACTGCTGAGCCTTTCACTGTTGCATATGCGAAACCATCTTGAGGATTTCTTAACTTAAAAGTAAAAGAAAATAATTAAAAATAAATGTGGAAACTTCGAATTTCATCCGAGAGTTGTGTGTACTGCAAAAAGTGCATGCGACATATGAGTCATTCTAGAATGTCTGAACACGAAAATTATCATGAGAAACTAGGCAATTTGATTTCTGGATGCAGTTTTTGTGCATTTTGAGACGTTTTTCAGGCGATGTTTCGTTAGAACGCTACGATTTAGTTCAAAACTAATATCAGATTCGGAGTCAGCGTTAAAAACTGAGTCGATTTATATATGTTGTGAATAATTCTGAGAAAAATTTGTTTTTTGAAAAAAAATCCCTATGCCCCTCCCTCCTCAGGGATGGTCTGGTCAAAAATGACAATTTTTTCGATGACTCAACCATTTCTTGACGGGTCCTTCTCATCTTCGAACTCGACCGAGATATTCATGAGATTGAACTGTGTGAAAAATTTCATCACGATCTGACTCTCCTTGCGAAAGTTATCGTACCTACTGCCGGACGGACGGACGGACACACTGACCAATTCTAGAGTGTACTCACTTTTTTAAGTACACAAAAACAAGAAATGTAATTTTCAAATTTGAATTAATTTACTCGAGCATCATTGATTCCGGATATGCTTGCTTCAGGTCGATCGAGCACAAGAAAAGCCGCTAAGTTAGCTGTATAAGATGCAACCATAATCATAGCAAAACCTGCCCAAACCATACCAAGAACACGAGCTGAAAAACTTTTTGGTGTTCCTAATAAAAACGAAATAATTGAAATTTAACCTCATCATTTATATCTGCCGATGATAACCTTCTCCAATTCCTGAATTTAATAAAACTCCCCATGTAAACCAAACTGAACGTGATAAACTGAGTGTATCTTTTTTTCTATTTTCTTCCAATGTAAGACTACTTTCATCTAGTTGATCTTTTTGCGGTACAAAATGAAATCGACCAAATGATGACCAACGATCAAGTAAATATAAAACAATAGCAATAATATGTACAGAAAACAAGATCATTATCCATAATACACCTTTAAATGGTTGTAAAAACGATGACAAGCGTGATGTATTTTTATCCTGAAGAATTTTCAAAATTCATGAAAGTCAATTAAAACTTAATTTTTCATTTACCTTTCGTACAAGTATTGTAATGCCTTGATATTTAAATGGTTTTGTAAATTCAATATCTTGTACACGTTCAGGATTCATAGTTAATGGAGCTATAATTAGATCAGCTTGATAATTTAGTAATTCACCGATCATTCCATCCCATCGTTTTTGTTTATCTTCTCCTTCCTAATATTCAAAAAGCAACAATAACAACAATAACAACAACAACAACATGATACCCTTCGTTTTCGTATATGATGACAAATATTCATAAATTTAGTCTTACGGACGCGAAACCAAGACAAATTACACTGAAATTTTCTTTTAGCTTTATTTACCTTTTCAAACGAACCATATTTACCATCAGCCACAAGATGTAATGTATAAACCATACTAAGATTTTTCGATAATTCGTGTAATAAATCAATACAATAACCATAACAGCAAAATTGTTCATACTCGTCATCGGATGATTCTGGGAAGAAATCGAAGTTTTCGAGGTGATACATATATATATGAGTGCATTGCAACTTTCTGGTACATTTTGCGCTTTATCTGTATTTCTCTAATAAATTTTTTTCCTCTCAATTGATTTGAACAATTTTTTCATAAGTTATTGGCTCCAGTATGTCCCACTAGCACACAAAATTTCAGCTCTGTAACTCATACAGTCGCTGAGTTATAAGGGAAACATGACAACAAAATGTCAGCCCAGGTCGAACATTCCGGCCACCGGATCCCGTATGATACTCCAGGGAATATGCTGGAAGGTCACCAATCCTGCAGGAAAGCACAGGAAATCGCTGGAACATGGAAGTAGTATTCCGGTCAAAAATACGCCGAACTTTTCCGATCGATTCCTGCCAAGTTACGGTGCTTTCCGGCAGGAATTGGTCGGAAATCATCGGAAAAAATGAGAAAATTTTCCAACTGGAATACTGCTTCCACAAAATCAACGGAACCGGCCGTTTCCAGGCCAGACTGTTCGACCTGGGTAGCTTTTGCTGACATGTGAGAAGACAGATGAACTTTTGGACTATAGAACAGCAAGAGAAATAATATTAAAATAGGCTATTTTGAACAGCGTTCAATGCTCTATCGAAGTATATTATGGATTTAAATTTTATACTTCATTCTCTTGTTCTTCCAACGTTCACATTATTTGGCAGGTACTTTGTATTTTTGTGTAGAATGACACAAACGTGATTACAGTTCGATCAGTGATAAAGCTGACGACGCAGAAATTATACGAAAGGAAAGACAACTCTTTGAGTAACAAAATGTTAAGAAAAAAACTCTCTGTTGTCACCTTTGTTTATCGATAAAAATAAGAAGACTTTCTGAAAAAACCTCATTATACTCACTTTGTAGAATGACAATTTGAAAATTAGATGCTTTATAACTCCTCAACGATTCATATGATTAAACTTAAATTTTTACTAAATATATAAAGTGGCAAGGTCTATCAACGATAAAAATTTTAGCACTGAATCTTCTTCCATTCAGGAGAAATTTACATTATACTGAGAAATGTAGAATGACAATTTTTCGCGAATATTTTCAGTACGGCTCCTTCAAAAATATTTTTTCCGACGTAGTTACGTGGGAAGCGATCATAGAGTATGACCTGGGGAAAAAATTATGATCTCAAAAGCAAAAAATGTTCAAGATCTGGGCGGTTTTTTTCGAAAAATTTATTCAGCATAAACATAAAGAGCGCACTATTCTCTAGCTTCTATTTTTATTCAAAAATTCGTACCTAGCACGAATTAGGACATGGTCCGATATAGAATCGTCAACATGGTTCTCCAGAAAAATAAAAAATGTTTTTTCGAAATTGCCGTACTCCCCTCCAGGGTTTCAGGTGGATAAAAAAAAATTTCATTTTTCGTGACAACTGCATCGACCATTCCATTTATGATCATGTACAGATTTCTGCTATATATAAATTTTGAACTTTCAAAGTGTGATTGTTTTGGCATGGAATCACCCACAAGTAGAAAAAGCTCACACATTTATAAAAGGGCTATATCTCCATTAATAATCGATCAAATGTTGTGAAATGCTTTTTGTGTATGACTGGCATAGATTGTAATAAAATGCACTACTCAAAAATTGTATAGGTTCACTTTCATCTGTTCGCGTGAATTGTACCAAAAAGTTGCAATTCACTCATATGCATATATATATACATATATAATGATGATGTTTTATTAAATATTACTATTAAGTTTTTTACGTGGACAATATATTTCAGATGTAGATTCACAATTATTGCCTGGACGTGCAAATATAAAAGGTTTTTCAACGATAGTAACAACCTAAATAAAATACATGTATAAATATGACCAAAAATACAATCGAATTAGATCTAACCGTAACATTTCGACTCTTACGAATACCATCGGGTTTTTTTCTCAAACCATTAGGCCAAATAATTTTTTCTTCATCAAGTTTTAATTCTGTTTTATACATCTACACAAATTAGAATTAAATAGAAATAACATGAAAGATAAAATCAAACTAAAATATTCATGCAGTATAATGTATTAAACCAAATTACTTACGATTTCTCGACACATACTACTTGTATGGCAAACACTCTAAAATTTAAAAAAAAGTAGATATTTGAATAATAATCTTATTTAATGACTTTACTTAATCATATTCCTTTCATCAACTGAAAACATGATTACAGATTGAATTACTTTATATGTAGTTCGATTCGTTAGTGACATAAATATATACTAATGCAGAAATTCTCTTTCAGTCGATTGCGAAATCTAAGCAGTCATTTGAAATGATAGCAACCTCTTTTATTTTTAGTACACTTGAAAGATAATATTAAAATTTAAGGCTTCACTCTAACTAAGACAAGATTTGGAAAATCGAGCTTTTTATAATACAACATGGTCTGTAACATAGATTTTATTTTGAAATTCTTCTACTTTTCGATCATAAGCTACAAAAACTATTCGTAAGAAAAGAAATTATTTTCAAAAAAAAGTCAAGTTCAATCATGGTCCGTCTTCACTAGTTTTCTCCTTTTCAATGCGGTAGCCACAGGCGATTATTTGATTCTGTCAATTTTCATTTGCTCTCAAAGCTATTGTTTGCAATTCTGACACTTTTTTTGCATAAAAAAGTTAATTCGTCAAAAGAGAAGAATACGAATGTTACTGTAAATGTTCTTTATAATACTATTCAAATTAATATTTCAGTACAAAAGAAACATTAAAAAGTCTGTAGACAACTTGGTAATATTCCCTCACTAGAATATTTTAATTACACATAGACGTAGACAATAAAAATTCGAAAGTTAGTCTCTATTATAATCATATTCATTGGATGAAAAAAAATATTACAAGGTTTCATTTCATTTTGAAAAATAAATTCAACAGAAATCATATTCCTCTGTTATTGGTATCGATCAAAAAAAAACAGCACGGACAGTTAGCTTTATTTCGAGATCTAACGAAAATATTAATTGTGTAGAAACAATTGGATGTCGTTTTATATTGCTTCTTTTTTAATCTAATTTGTAGTTTTGAAAATTTCTCTAAGGCATTAGATCAGCTAAATAATAACATAATTAGTATCGAACTCAATCGATGGTTCACACTTTACAATATTCTACAAATTCCCAACTCACTGTATTCGAACGATAAGTACCAACAACTGTTGGATGTCCGTATTGAATATTAATTATTTCATATAATGATTCAATTCTATCACCATATTCATTAAATTCAATATCACCTGTGGTAGCGGCGTTCACTTTTGTTTTAATGAATGCTCTGTAAAAAATGAAAATTGTCCTATGGTCTAAATTTATGAAAGTTAATTCAGACCGATAAACTTCTTCTCCATACTGCCAGGGTTCTGCTGATGAACAATCAATAACAGACCTATTTTCTGACCAAAATGAAGATGAATAATCAATAAATTTCACAAATGTGTCAGTTATAAGTTGAGTTGCATCAATGAGAAGATTTTCATCACTAAATGAATCATGCAGCCTAACACCAAGAAGACCTAAATCAAAATATGGATACATGAACAGTAGCAATTAATGAAATTAAGTTAATTAAACCATCAAATAAAGCGGAGCTATTTGTTGTTAACGCATGTTCATTAATAATCCATACAAAATTTTCTGTTTTCTCTAATCGTACAATCGCCGATAACATCTCAGCTATATCTTTGAATCTATAAAAAGAAAAACGATCAATCATTTTCCCTATTAGAGAATAACATGAAAATTGACTTACCGTGTATGAATAATAAATACACGTGCTAATAGACGATCTTCAGTTGTCAAATTAAATATTAACGATGTCAAATTGGTATCTGAGGTGTACTCTTCCATTTGTTCAATCTATTAGATAGAATAATTTAAAAAATGATAAGAATATAAGAATACTTGTACGAGTGCTACTCATCCGTTAATTTGATTGCGTTGTATTTATAAATCAAAAGAAAAAAAGACAAGATGCCGTCGAGTCCCTTCGACTACTGTAGAATATTGTTTTTCCTATATTTTGGCCTACGAATACTCGAAAAAATGACTACTAAACTTCTAATCAAATAATTAATTTCTATGAAGTAACATCCAGTGCGTTATTTTAATAATTGGCATGTAAAAATTTTCATTTCCGTCTCAAACTCATTCTGTCAATATTCATTAAATGTTTGACATCATCAATTATGCCTAATACGATCAAAATTTTGTTGTTTTTCCGTCTTGCTTCTATCAAAACAGTTTACATGTTACTAAGTACATCTCTTGGATATAGAAGTAACATATACCTGAATCTGTGAATCATGTGCAAGCATTTGAAATCTTGATGCCACCATTCGACTTTCTTCTTCTTGATTATAAATCAATACGACATTTGTATATTTTAATTTATGAATTATACTAAACCAAGCATCAGCTTCATACAAATACGGTGGTACTAACCGTAGAATAAAACCATATAATGCCTAATGTAAAAATTTACATTCAAATAACATAATCATATATAGATATAGATGTATATACTTTATCAGAAAGAAGATTTTCTCTTGATGCTATTGTTATAACTGGTATATGATAAAAATCTGCTACATACGCAATAGCAGCTAATGTTAAATCATTATCATCATCAATAATACGACTAGCAATAATTACTTTTGCATTTGATTTATTGCCTGCTTCGCATAAGGCTGTTATGGTTAACAATGGATTTGAATTAAGAATAAAACATTGCGATGAAATATGTAGATTTTTATTTGAGTCTGTACTTGCATTAGGAAGCATTTGAATTTGTTCATTATTGGCTAATGCGCCTAGTATAATAACTTGTGGAAATTTTAGTTGAGAATCATCAATTTCTGATATATTTGATAATTTAGTTGTTGTATTAATATTTTCATCAGTTGTTTGAAGTCTAACAAGAGAAAAATACATGAAGACATTGTAAGCATACCATAATAAAGTCATTGTGACAAGTTGATGTTGTTTTATATTAATGTGTCGATGAAACAAACAATTCCTTTTCTTGTTCTTTCTCTGCTAATGGAGAAGGGCAATAACGAAGGACTTGTTTGCTTCCTTCAATTGTTCTTAATAGACGACTAGTAAATTTTTTTATTAGGAAATAATGATGAAAGATACTACAGAGACATAAAGACAGAAAATTTATTTGCTAAGCTAATTATGTATCAAGCTATGAATCTTAGTTATTTTAGAGAAAATAGTTTTTTTGAATGACTTCATGTCATTGACGCATTCTAATTTACATATGTATCAAGTATATACACAATAGTTCTATGATCAGAAGCAAATTATAGTGGATAAGGCAAAGAAAATCTGCATTGTGTGATTATACTTGTAGATGTATTCAGCAACGATAAAGCATTCTATCAAATGTACATCAAGATTTGACAATGTTACGTTAAGTAAAAATTCAAAAGTTCGAATACAAAGTTATACGAATCAAAAAATTGTCATCAGCAAGAGGACATTCAAAATAAAGCTTCAATCGGTAAGAAAGCATTTTTTTAATTCTATTAAATATAAATATATTATATGGCGCAGATTGTTTTAAACATCAAAATGGTCGCTAGTAGTAGTATCATCAAAACAAATTTGATGCCTCCTTAGCATCAAATAATTGATGATTGATTATGAACCTTACTATTTGTGTCATTGTTTCTGTTTACAATTTTATTCTATAATTCTTCGTTGTATTAAATTCTAATTTGAGATATACAGTTTCATTTCGCTGACTGCCGAGCCACAATACTCACTTAGCATACTAGAATAAACCACTGTAAACAAACTATATTTTGATAGAATGGCTGATTCCTTTTTGCAGCGAATGCGGATATCGATGCTTCGGGGTAAACGATACCAGAATAGTTGATGCTTCGGGAAGTTGGTACTGGTGACCCATTTCCAAATGTTTATAACAACATTATTCATTGCTAAGTGGAGTCTATTATTAATTTTCTAATTCATATGGTCGTTATTAGAATCTGCATTTGAGAAAAAACAAATCATCTATATTTTTTATTGTAAAATTCTTTATTTTGAATGAGTTCTAGTGTAAAACTCTTGTAGTTATTGATCGTTTTCTCATACACACATATTATTTGCAATTGAGTACAATCGCTTCGGAAACTTTTGATTGGGTAGATAAAAAAAAATGATGCGAATAGCTATGGTTAATACACAAAGGACATTTTATTTTTATTTGAATAAGCATCGGCAGCTCATGAAATAGAGCAACGATGACGATTCAATATATGATAGTAATCTAGTTCTGCTTGATTGATTTGCCGTTTTTTTTTATACTTTATTCATAACGTCATTTTACAAAGTTGTATTGAACTGGTATACATACAAAATATACATGCAGCCACCACAATTAAAACCTGTAAGTATACATTGTAACTATGGGATCGAAGAGTTTCGTTTTTGTTTTTAACTTGCAATCTATGCCTACGATTACCTTTTTGATTCGTTTCTTATATCATACATATTGTTGCTATTTTATGCTGAAGGTGACAACTAATATTTATATATATATATTGACACTAATAAGCAAACTAATGTTATGTTATATTTTCTTTCGATAAATCTCGTTTGTTTATATTAGGTTCCTTATAATAATATTCCAGAATAATTCATTCTATATGAGTTGTTCTTTTAGGTTATCTGTTCTTTTCTTCTTCTTCTCTTTGCATTATTTATTCATGTCTTGGATCAAAGGTAATAGTAGTAATAAACATGCAGTTATTACCCATCTAATTGTTTTTTGTTTATTATTCTTCATGATGAAATCATGGGATGAAATGTAAAAAAACCGAGAAGAAACTAAAGATATAAATAGAGAATAAAAAACAGAAAACAAATTGTTGAAGCAAGAATGGAAATCAATTTTCTGTCGCAAAATAATTGCTAAAAAGCAAAGAAGAAGAAAAAAAAATATTTATATATATGTAGATATAGATGTTACATTAAGGTTATTCGTAGAATTCTTATTCTTATTTCTCGTCTTGGGTTGCATTGTATGACTGTTACAAGTATTTTTCATTTCTTTACTACACCCTTACCCTTACGACAAGTACTACAATGAATATAAGCGAACAAGAACAAAAGGCGATGATTCCACTCTTGTCGTTATTCTCGATAGCTCGATAAACACTATTTTTCCTTTTTGTTGATGGAGCGGTGACATTATATTTCATTCGTTATTGTGGATGTTTGCTCTCGCATACAAGATAAATTTGTAAATGAGCGTTTCGCGTTATAATAACTTTTACTTACTTAATATACTCACATTCAATTCACATGCGACAATGGAAGAACTTGATCTTGCCATTGACGAAGAAGTTGCTCTCATGAGAACATCACGTACAGCAACATTCACATTAAGTTCATCATCTTCTTCGTCATCGTCGTCGTCTTGTTCTAATCTATATAATAATAATCAAAATGGGCGAACATCAAAAACGACAACTATATGTTCTTTGTCATCTAAATCTTATATTTCTGAAAATCACCCACTTCTACATTCCCAATCGCTCATGCTTGATAATCAAAGGCATCGTCCAGCTATTCATGATCCTTACCAATTATCATCAAATCTTCAACTTTTAGATAATTGGATGATTGTAAGTGTTGCATATAAATTTTTTTTTCTTCTTCTCCTTTTATTGTTTTGGTCATTTCGCGTCTTCTTGATTGCGGACGTTTTTTCTTAATTGTTGGAAAAAAATGTCCGCAAAGTAGAATCGGGGGGAGAGAGACAAAAATGTCTGCATTGTGGAATCAAACGAAAATTGATATTTTAAGATGATTCATGCAAATAGGTGTACTGAATAATATCAACTGTTTCGAGCTAGTCTAGTGTTGTTCATCGCGTGTTATCCAGGCCATTTTATAAGCATGTATTGTGAAAGGAAAACATTTAAAGTGACGAAGTTAAACCTAGACGAATCATATAAAAATTTCCATCGTGAAAAATGATAGCTTTTCTCAAATTTCCACACAATCTGATAAAGATGGTTATGGTTTTTAAAAATTATCATTTTGGAATGAATCTTGATTATCAACCTAACACAGTTAGATGTTCAACTATTCTTCATATTATGATTTTTCTGTATTTTTTTTTCACCTAATAAATATTGTCTTGATTCCATAATGCTGACATTTTTTCTCTCCTTTCCCCCGATTCTGCTTTGCGGACATTTTCCACTCTGCGACTATTTTTGTTTCTCTCCCCCTGTTTCTAGTTTGCGGACTTTTTCTCTTAATTGGAGGAATAAAATGTCCGCAATCAAGCTGTAGCCGCAATTGAAAATCTTTAAGATTAATGCACTTGAACTAATAATTTCTGTAACCATAATATAAACTGCATAAACATTTAATTCATCATCATCGGTTAACTGAGTTTGATTGTCAAATATATGAACATATTCTACGAAATGAAAACAATCTCATGAGCCAAGATACAAAACGAGTTCTTGATTAAATTGTAAAATTTGTCATATAATGTGCGATAATAACATGCTTTTGTGAATTATATATAGCTAAAATAGAATCTCTTAAAGCAAATTTTGTAGGAGATCTTAAAGGTATGCGTAATATACCAGTAGAAACAAGGCTAGCATTGGTGTTGGTTGGTGGAGTTTGAAATATTTGAAAAGCATCTGAACCAATACCACTTCGATGAGGTAGTTGAACTTCAATATATCGAGATAAGTATTGTCGACATGAACAGCAAAGCCACCTGTCAATGGCAATAGATCAAAATCAATTGATAATGAAGTAATTGTCAATCCTTGACAATATTATTATTGGTGCATTACCAATTAATAGTGTTTGGTCCATTTCTTGTCCTGTTATTGTTAGATTAGGTACGTTAGATATGAATATTGTCGATACGAAATTGTAAATACCGGATTCAAAGGCAATGGTACTTTTTTCTTCACAGCCAATCGCTGTGCGGATATTGGATAAGCACCATAATGAGAGACCAAAAATAATTTCTCCTTCAATCAATAATATTTTCGTATATCTCATTTTCAACGATGTTCTGTGTACAATGTCAAATTTCTAAAAAGCAATCAGCGAGTCTGTTTAAGGAATACATTCGCATCAACAACTAATCGATTAGATATGCTATTTCTAACAGTGAACCTTTTCTGAACTATCGTAGCAAAATTTTATTTTCGTATAGACCATTTCGTCTTTTGTATGTTTCATGTTCTTCAGGATTCAGATGTCAAATGGTACAGTGAAGTCGTCACTTTTACGGTCTATATGATTATCGAAGAAAAAAAGCAAACCAAAATTACCTTAGGCAAAGATTACGCATTTGAGTTTCATTTTATTTTATTTATGGTAGAGATTATCACACAAAAAGATTTTAGTTTGAGTCGCGTGAAAAGTTCATTTGTCAAGGAAGACTTACAATTCTATATGCCGTCGTCAGTCAAGCCCTCCAAAAACGACAGTAAGGCAACGATATTCTTTTTTTCCGTTTATTTATCTTTTCATAAGTGTAAAACAAAAGTTGGCTTTCAACAAGGTCAAATACGTTTTATCTCTTTTATTATAGTTCAAAACGAGAGTTACGCCAATACAGCTGGAAATCGCAGTGTTGTGAGAATTATGATTCATCTCTACTTATTGACTACAGTATTACTCTGAGTTTTTGGTTTAAAAAAATACTACTATAATTGCAAGATTTCTCTAATTGGAGATCAAATATGTAAGTAAATATTATGTTTTGTTAGATGTCAATATAAAGGCCGATGGTTAAAAATCACTGAATGCCAGTTGCTTATCCTTAGTTTAATGTTACCAAACTTGTTTTTTTCTTCACCGATGAAAATCATAGGACTCAAAAGAACCTTATCAAAGAATATTTCGAGATTCTCGTGAAAAGTCAATCAATCTTTCGATGATCGAATACGACAGCAATAGGAGTTCAAAAGGTATTTTATTTTATATTAAAATTATAAAATCTGTTAAAAACCGTTCAGAAATGTACGACATCTATTGATAGAAATAACCACAAAAACAAAGTTATTGCAGTTTCAGAGTATTTTTCTATAATAAATATAAATTAATTCAATTTCAATCTAAAATTCTTCATTAATTTCACATTATCATCGTTTCTAACTACAAGCAAAGAAGAGTTTCGAATCGAATTGGAATCAATATTAACCATTCAGCTGACGCGAAAAAATAAGTTTGTGTCATTATCAGTAATTTTTTTGAAAAACTTCTCGTTTCGCTTCTGTAGATTCATTTAATTAATAAAGAATTGTTCTTATCTATTTCAGACATTCAATCTAACAATGACTCGTGTCAAGTGCTCGAAGCTCCGTGGGAAAAAGCCCGGTATGAATGATATGAAAAATTTATTTATTTGTTTATTTTTTATTGTATTATCTTAGATGAACTCCAAAAACAATTGGAAGAATTACGTCAAGAACTTAATACACTTCGTGTGGGCAAAGTAACCGGCAGTGGTGGTGCACAAAAGTTGGGAAAAATTCGTAATGTACGAAAATCCATTGCACGCGTTCTTATTGTTACACATCAAACAACAAAAGAAAACTTACGTGCTTTATATCATGGCAAAAAATACAAACCCAAAGATTTACGCAAACGTAAAACACGAGCTATTCGACGATTAATGACACCAAAGGAAAACTCAGTCCAATTGAAAAAACTTCAACGACGACAATGGGCGTTTCCTCAACGTACCTTTGCTGTCAAGGCTTAAATAACAAGAAAAAAAATAATAAAAACGAAACATTTTATATTGTTTTGTGAAAGAAAAGAAATGTATTGAGATGATCAATCTGTAACATCAATTTGAATAAAAATGAATCTATCAAAAACAAAAAAAAAGTTTTCTCTGTTCATATAGCTATTCGGTTTTTATTGCTCATAGAAAGACACATACGAGATATATGTTACGTATGTTTGAATATTACATTAAAAAGAACGAAATAAAAATAGAAACTTGGGCCTGACCGGTGATCGAAACCGGAACCTCTCGCACCCAAAGCGAGAATCATACCACTAGACCATCAGGCCATGTTCATCAAAGTCACATCAAAGTAGCTAAATTTCCACCGAAATCGAAATTCAAAGAAAAACGAAACAAAAATATTGAAATGGGCCTGACCGGTGATCGAAACCGGAACCTCTCGCACCCAAAGCGAGAATCATACCACTAGACCATCAGGCCGTGTTCATCAAATTCACATCAAAAGTAGCTAAATTTCCACCGAAATCGAAATTCAAAGAAAAACGAAACAAAAATATTGAAATGGGCCTGACCGGTGATCGAAACCGGAACCTCTCGCACCCAAAGCGAGAATCATACCACTAGACCATCAGGCCGTGGCAATCAAGCTCGGGAAAACCCTAATTGAACAGGTACAGTTCAATTAAAAACTTCAACTTTCATGTCATTATTTTGATAGTACGTCTTTATACCTCAATGAGTTCTATAGTAATCGAAATTAACGATCTTATCAACGTCTGTCATTCATCTGAAATAATTGAGATAGGGTTTTAATTTGAATTCAAGGAAAACTTTGATACGCTTATTCAATTCCGAACTTGTTTTTTTTTTCTATTAACATTTTGCTGAACAATTCTCAATAACGAAATAATAGAAAGCTTACTAGTTGTGCAATCAAATAACCGAGATATAGCTTATTCTAGGAATTATATTTAAGTTTGAGCCTGGCTTCATTTATTTTTGTTGTTTAGTTTTTAATAATGAAGCGTGACATTTTCATGTTCTATGTCGTGATTATCCTATTTTGACGACGACATTTGATAATATGACAAAGATCATGTTGGACTTGCTACTATCCATAACTAAATTTGAGTATCTAGAGTCTCACATCACAATACGGATTCTATGTAATGTTTTAAAAATCTATTCGTGCTTAGAAAATTTTTCATGTGTAATTATCTCTTTTTAGTTCCATTGATTAATAACATTTAAAAAGCTGTTTTTTCATTATCTACAGAAAAGTTTTCACTACAATATGCTATTCTTTTTATAATCGTTCAGAAAAACTATGATAAGTTGAATGTCGTTTAAAAGTTATTATCAATATTAGCAGAGACAAAAAAAATGACAGAACAAAGTGTAGATATTTTTTGTATTCTAATTAAAAGAAACTCAAGAAGCAACACTGTATTATTCTTTAACTGAAGAGTTCTTGATAGTAGAAAAGAACTTTTGATTAAGCCTGATAGTCATACGGACGCCATATAAAAAAATAGCTAAGCATCGAATACAGCTATGTTTGGAAAAAGAATCCGTCCGACAAATAATATAAGATGTCTTTCAGTGGATGAATTCATCGAGTATATTATGATGTCGGTATGAAGTGTAAGTAGAATCTATTTGTTTTTCTCTGTTCAATAACAAAGCGAAGAACCTTGAAATATAATTATGATTCAAGAACGTCTATCTTGAAACCAATGTGATATTTTTAATTAAAAAAAAAGCAATGACACTTGCACTATACTTCAAATACACATGATAAAACTACAGTAAGACCCATATAAGTGTAAACACAGCAATTTGCTTGTTTTTCTGAAACACTTCTATTGCAAAAACTGAGTACTATTTGGGTTTGATTGAGTTTGATTGAAAATTTGTATGTTTTTACAGTACTAGAAAATTCACCGTATCTATTTTTCTACTTATTATAATGAATATTATCAATGCCATTCAGCTGTACTTAAATTTAATAATTCCCATGAAAATTGAAAATGATGCTTTGTGCAAATAAGTATTTCGAATTCTAATTGACATAGAAATCTACTGTTCAATTCAGTAGATTTAGGCAAGCTGCCTCGGATGCATGTGCGCCAATAAATGAGGCAGTTGTTTCTGTTTATTTACAAATGATTAAACCAACGCATAATTGCAGAGGCAAAATCGGAATATGTTTCAGGTTTCCTTCAATACTTCTGTTATCTGATGATAGAAATCAATCAACGATTTCTCCTGTATTTATATTCAATTTTCTCTTATACAAATCACTAAATAATTAAAATCTAATGAATGGTTCAGTTTTATATAACATTAAGAGAAGCAGTACAACAGTATATTTTAATATTTGTCCTTGGTAATTTATAGCAATGCTTTATTAATGTAACTAAACACATGACACACTAAAGCCCTATCATGGCATTGAATTCAAAAAAAGGCTCGTCTCATAAAATTCGCCACAAATTTAGAACTTAAAATCAACAAATTATATAATCAATTGCACGCTGTCAAACAATATATGCAATCGCTTGAACTCTTATTTTTTCATTTTTACACAATCTGATTACAAAAGACTAAGAAATAAAGCTCGAGTCTCGTTATAACAATTCATTTTACTTTATACCTACACTTATGCGATCAATTGAATGTCACCAGACAACTTTAGTGCATTTTAAATGAAGAGGAAAATATTCGTCTGAATGACTAAAAAGGTCACTTTAAACATCATAACCATGAGTAACTAAATCATTGCATTATTAGAAGAAGAAAAAAATCGTTCACTTGTTCTTTTCTTATGACACATTCCTTTGCATTAAACCGATCGTCTCAATCTAATTAGATGTAGTCTGTTGTTTATATCATTAGAACAACAACAAGACAATATAACTTCTCAAGAGATCATATGCCATGTCGTGCTCATCGGTTTAGACTAGAATAATATTTGACCATCATATAATTCCTTTTTTCTCGATGTTTATGCTCATCTTGTTCACATTAATTTCTTTGACGCTTGATCACCATCACAAATGTCTTGCACATGCAATACAGAGAAATATTCTATCTTCATATTTTCTTTTACGTTGGATTGAAATAGGGAACTACATGATCGTTTTTTTCCTTCTTCTGTTGACAGTCTTCTTTAAGCTATTGATGTATTATTAATAGCGACGCTTATGAATCAAAGTGAAAAGAGAAGCCGAAGAAAAAAAATAACCTTGATTTGCTATTCATCGTTCAACACTTTTTTTTTAATCATGAGCTACTAGTTAGTTAGATTTATAGCCTATAAGCATACGTAAACAAATTCGCTTTCTTTCTTTTTTACTCGAATACATTTGATGGCTCTCGATAACTGGCCGTGTCAGTGGCAGACATCACAATTTATGTGCTGTCTACGAGTGAGAGCAAGAGTGTCAAAATCGAATTGACTCGGATAGACACGCGTTCATGATGGCGCTTCTTCGTTTTATTCTTATTTTTCTGAGTAGAATCAGAAACAATAAACGTATTTGTCACTTCACTCACGCACAGTAGGGATACTAATTGCACTAAGAAAATGAAGTATGTAATAGTGTGATCTATTCTCAATGATGGAAATCACCTGGTAATATATCGATTATGTTAAAAATTGTGGAACAATGAGAAGTATCATTATTCGATTTGTATGCACGCTGTTTGATCTTTCTTTTGATTATGTAGAAAATCTATTTTCAACAAGAGGCTATAAATATTCTATTTGTTGTTCTTGTTTGAGTCACCCTTTTTTGCTAGCTTTAATCCGCACAGCTCAGTTAGATATATTTTTTTCTCTATTCCTAATTCCATTAGTCTAAGTTTATTTTCCTTTTTCCTTCTCTCTCCCTCCTTCTTCTCTTTCCTTCTCGCCTTTCCCTTATCGTTTGTAGGAGAGAAAGAGCATAATCTACAATCATCTTCTATTGTATATGTGGTTTCATTGATCTACTAGTACCAACATGTTCCAGTTATAAGCGAAAATAACAGTTGCAATTATTGCACAACCGACTATAAACAAATATCGAACACGGTATCAAATAGAATCTATTAAAAATACAAGTGATGTTAGATGCTCATATCACTAATGATGAACAATACTTTAATCGCCATTAAATACATCGTTTTATTTACTCATCGTAAGTAACTCATATATAAAATAGAAATCCTTCTAAATGCTAATTTTCTGTTTCTTCTCTTTCAGTAATTTTCATGACCCAACTAACAACAGCTAACAATCGATTTCCGAGAATCATTACTGAAACACATAATCAGACATTAAATATATCATCGACGGCCATATTAACATGTCATGTCCGTGATTTAGGGGATCATCATGTAACATGGTTTAAAACAAATCCATCAACAACAATATCATCTCCATTAGCTGCCGGAGAGCAATTATTTACAGCTGATAAACGTTATTCAATATCATTTTATTCGACATCAGTCAAAGATTCATTTTGGTCATTAGAAATTTATCAAGTAAATCTAGCCGACGAAGGTACATATATATGTAAAATTGCTAATCGAAAAGCAAGCGTCAGTATTTATATACATTTACATATACAAATACCAATGATTATACATCCGACCTACGTTCATGCAGAACCAAATACAAATATTATATTAAATTGTAGGCTTTTAATCAATAATGAATATGTCGATAAAAGAGATGTAACATGGATTTTTCTATCTCATCAACTCAATAAAACCAAATTTCATGATGTACATATAAGAAAACGATTATCGGGCGATAGTTTAACCGCAGATTTAGTTATTAATCATACACAGATGAATCATACAGGTACATGGGCATGCATTTATCGGCAACAACTACTTAGTGTAAAAGTGCTCGTTCAAAAAAGTAATGAAAACAAATTTCAATTGATTATTTACAATAGAAAATTTCTTCTTTTCTTTTCTTTTCTTATATCGTTTAGATATGTTAACGCATCAACGTGCAAGTGCGTTACTGTCGAATGACTCTTATCGAAAAATTTCTTCAATATATGTTTTACTTTTTCTTGTTTTATTTATTGTTGACGAACATTAGCAAAAAACGAGTTCTTTTTTTTATATCAAACGAACAGTATGTATAAAAAATAAAAAATGTCAGATAAAAATAAAATACTATAACAGAAACTGCCTTATTCTAAGTTGATCCTTGACAAATCAGTCAAGCATAGATAAATGACTGTCGACGACATTAATTAGAAAGAATCACCCGTGTGTACAAGAGTTGTGCCATCTCATATATGTTATCAGAAAAATGAATCTCTTTTGTTCATAAAAAGACAAGACCATGTTTATCGTCTAGTCAAAACTCATTGAACAGAAAGACTAATTGAAATAATATAAAAATTCATTATTTTCAATTTCTTTTTATACACAGACAGATTGCTCTTGATTATATGAAAGCATAGGTTATGAAGAGAATGAGAAAGGAGAAGACGACGAAGAAGAAATAGAAAGGTCACTTCAAAACTACCGTATGCTGTTTAACGAATGATGAGAATAATCAAGCAAAGGTCCTTTCTTTATGTCATCTGATGGCCTCATTTTAAGCTCTGTGACAAGAAAAATTTGCATTTCGTTTCCAGTGTCGATTGCGCGACAAGCAAGTGAATGAAAGAGAATGCGTGTATGTATGTTAACTAGATAATAATTGCACGGACGATGACTGTAGATACTTGAACATGTCCATACATCTTATGTCATCTAGCGAACAAATTAGATACAGCAGAGAGAAAAGGAATGACGAGTATGAAATTGACGCAATCGTAAGTAGATACTGTTGTTTACATGGGTATGTAATCGATTTCGAATATTGGCTAATAATATATTATCGTCTATTGATTATAACTTACAGCAACAACAATAACAAATGCTCGTATTTTTTCTATCGCCATATTTGAAGGACATATTGTGTCGTGAGAAAAGCGCTGTATCCGGTCTCGACTACATAATGAACTACGAACAATAATGACATGCAAATTCGATCTCATAATAGATTAAAAAAACGAGAGAGAAAGAGGGACCCGAATGATTTTATTTTAATTAATTTATTCTCGAATAATATCATAAAATAAATAAACAATCCGATATATCATGTTGCATTCAAAAACCATGTGCTGATGCTGCTGCTGCTCGAGTTGCACTGAACCGATCATATTCCACAAAAGTTTGATTGACAAAAACTGCTGCTGTAGAATGTTCTGCACATCGAGTATTACCATTCAATAATGTAAGCTGGACACGACATGAGTAAAGAAATAAACCTATGGAGAAAAATAAATAAATAAATAAAAACTAGAAATAATAGATGTACTATATATTTTAATACCAGCAAGATACGGATTCCATTCTTGTTTAATTAATCGAGCAACTCTACTGTGATAGAGTGGACTCGAACTTACTACTGATAGGGATAATCTCTCTTTATGTGATAGAAAGTACGATAGTGTACAAGGACCATCTCGGTTTCGCATCCAATATTTGAAATCACGCGATGTCAATTGAAGTGAATCAGTCGTTGGAATTCTTTGTTCTTCAGGAATGTTTCCTGAATGAAGTAGAGATAAAGAGTCGTGAAGTTTTATTATTTCAGGTCCAATAGTTTCAAAGTAAATTGATTCTCCATGATTCAATGCGTTAAGTTCAGGACCCATGACGGTGGTAAATCTTTCATGTGGTTGAATAAGAAAATTACTTGAGGCGATTTCTTGACGAAATGCTGTGAATAAACGACCTTCACCACATAAAATATGAATTTTTAATGATGGACGTGTTGCATCACTTGTATCGGGCGTAAGATAAGTACGTAGCATGTGGAGAATTTGTACGCGTTGAAATTGCATAAATTCTTCTCGAGCCTCTTAAAAAAAGAAATAGACAGATTTATAAAAAAAAAATAAAATAAAGAAGAATTACTCTTTTGAAAATAATTATGTAGAAGTCCAAGATCAGTAGTCTGTTCCGATACGCTATAGTTGGCACCAAGAAGAAGACTTCGTGTATGAAAGCATGACTCCGCTGATTGAATAGTTGGATCGGATACTATTTTTACAGGAAACATGCGAATATTTCCAGGCAACTTTTCTAGAAGTTTGAGAATAATTTTATGTATTTGTGACATAATACCACGTATTTGATTAATGCCAAGACGAGTTAAATAGGATGCTTTATCATCACCTGTATTAACATTGAGACGTGAAATAAAAACAAACAGATAGTTAGTTTTTTCTTCTACTGTGATCAATATCTACTTATCATGTCGAATAAAGAATAGAAGTACACGTGAATCTTGATGAACACTGTTACGTGGAATGTTTCCTCGAGTTAATATTGGATTTTCTCGAAATTTTTGTATAGAATTATCGACTGGAAATGGCATTCCATATGGACTAAATTGATACAATGGTGTGGTGAATGGTGCTCGTTGTTCTTCGACTGAAGATGGAACAGGTATTGGTGATCCTAAACGATTGAATGATCCAAAATCTGTATTTGCTTGAATAAGTGATAGACGATGAAGATAACGACGACAAGTATGATGCATCATGGGCACTAAATGTGTAGTATATTCTAGTTTCATTTCCATGTATACAATAATATTATAGTTTCTTATTCGATTCGGAAATGCCTCTACAGCAAATACATGATCTAGAACACTTGTATGAATATAATTTCTCATTTCTTCTTGTGCATGAGTGAACTTCGAATAGAAAAAAATCGTTGCAAAATTTATTTTCATCTATTTTTTTACGTACTCGACATTGATGCATGGCAGCCCATTCATAATAGAAATCTTTTCTCAAAACTGCATGATTGACAGTTATTGGAATTTCATTCATAGTAACCGATTCTACTAGTTTAGGTATTTCAGTTCCAACTGTACGATACAATAATGTTTGACCATGCGACAATGTGGTTACAGTCGGAAGAGAGAAACTTAAAAATTCTTCAAGCGGTCGTCGACGAGCAAAGTAACGTCTTATGATATGATCGAAAGCTGTGAAAAGATTCCCATGGCCAGCTATAATTGTTACTGTATGTTCAGGTCTATCTGTTTGAGGCGGTTGTAAATATTCGCGAACAAAATAATACCAACGTTTACGTTGTTTGATAGTATCACTAGAATAGCAAGCAAGTGCACAAGACATTTTATTTTGAAATATTATTATACATGCATTCTCTCAGGCCTGTATCTTGAATAACGTCTGGTTCAAATGAGAATTGATTGTCGAGTTGTAAACGAATATTATAGAGACTTTCGATTGCACGTACTTGTGTACTTGATACTAATTTAATCGGTCGTGTTAATGGACCTATTGTTTGGATTAATTCATGAATTTTTTTATTTATTTTATGACCTGCCATTCGTGTTTGATATTTTCCATAGCGAAGTAAATGTGCAGTTGATTCATCTTCCGTATAAAAATATAATCCATGCCGAATGAGAAATATATGATGTGTTGTACGAGGATGAACACCGGTATGATTGATACGATACGGATTGGGATTTGTCGGTGCATAAAGATGACCATTTTTATATACTCCTGGTCCTGCTCGTGATTCACGACAGTCACATGTACATGTATTTGGTATGGATTGTTGAGCTTCGGTTAATACGATAGGCAGATTTCCAAGTTCCCAAAAAGGATTTTGACGAAATTGCTCAGCAATTCTCGTTATTTGATCATTAACAGGCAATGGATATAACTCGTCAAGTCTAGGTATATAGTCAGCAGAGAAATTGTTAGCATTTGTTCGATTCGAGATAAATAATAAAAAAATGAGATAAAAAAACAACAACAACAACAACATAATCGAAACAAAAAATTAATTCAAATAAGAGACAACGCGCCATTTGATATCGAGAAAAATTCATTGCTATTAGATAGTTTTTGAGCGCATAAAAAATACTGATCGATGATCATGTACATTGACATTGCAATACAGCTTTTGACGAGTCCAGAAAAATCTAGATTCTATATACTTTTCGCAAAAAAAAAGTTTTTTAACATGTTCAACAACCGACGTCAAATCATTCGATGAATATATATCGTCGAATGTAAGATTATCAACTGTTGAGAAAATTTAATATATCGAGAGCATGAACAGTTATGTGCCACTGAAAAGCGACATCCCTGACTCTAGTCTCGAGTGTAGATTCGAACGTTGTCACTGATATTTCACACAGTCATTATTCGATTGAACCACAATTTTCATCTGTATATTGACAAAAATACAAGTTGTGTTATTTCGAAGTTTCATTCCTGCATTTTTTTTTTCGAATAATTATCAGATTTCTTTTTTCTTTGTGAACTCTCTTTCTGAGTGGAACATCAGTAGAAAAATTCAATAAAATATTTTCTTTGCATGTAGTTTAAATTATAATTGTTACTCTCAGTCCAAGAAAGGCAGATAATTGATATTATTTCATAAAAGGAATCAAATGTTTCACAATAATCATCATCGAGCAACATAGTCTAATAGATAGATTCGAACGCGAACGTATGCAATCGTTTACTACTCTCTAAGCAACTTGACCAAATTTTGCCATTAGAATGACCTCTAACTTTGTATTGGTATATAGTCGATCGAACGGACGAGTAAAATATACTGATATGATATATACATGCACAATGGACCATTCAAAACATTTTTTTTAATGCGGTGCGAAGCACTGCATTTATGTAGTCCGTCGCGAGTTTTTTTTATTTATTTTTTATTATTTTTTACTTACTTGACGTACGCATCAAAAGTCGACGTTTTGTGTCGCGATGATCTCGAGAAACAAAAAATCGTAGAAAACTCATTGAAACGTGAGATCGAAGTATCAAGAGCGAACTGAGAACATCTGTTTTTGAATCTTTAAACTGAAGTTCCGTTCACTCACAAATGTGGCTCCAAAATGACGAAAATGAAAGAAATTTGCTGCGAGATAATTAAAGTGACGTCATGAACATATGTTATCCACTATAGTCTACTCATTTCCAGCTGATCTATGATAATGAATCATGGAGATAAGTAATCGATCAATCGAAATCGATCCTTAAGAATGTATCGCTAAGTAAGAATGGAGTTTTCTAAGTGATGAATTTCATTATGTCGACATAAAAAATATTCAAGATTTTTCTGAATTGAAGATTTTTCGTGGATCCAAATTCCTGATTCGCATCGCATTTCGTATTCGAGTGAAACTTGAATACCATCTAGTTTGGTTTCTTTCTAACTTGAGTACGCATAAAAGTTCTAATAAAGTAGCGCGATGATCTAGAGAACCGTAAATGATAAAAAATCCATTCAAACTACATATGAAACTATGGAGGTCGAACTTGTTACATCTTTTTTCCGATTCACAATAGTAAGTTTCGTTCTCCTAAAAATATGATTCGAAAATGAAGGGTTTGAAAGGTTTTATTGTTTGATAGTTTCGCGCTAATTAAAATGACGTCATCAATAGTTGTTAACCAATAGTCTATTGCTTCACATCTGATTCAAGACAATGATTCATGAAAATAACTGGTTGTTACATTTTCAGAGAGATTTCCTAGTGACGAATTTCAAAATGGTCGATTTAAGAATAGCGAATGCGAAATTTTTATTCAAAATTGGTATACGGAAATTTAAAAAAATAATCGATTCTAATGAATCTTAAAGTGGATCATATATTTTTTAAATGTTATTCTCACTACGTTCGAATATTCGGCTCGTGTGCTTCGCACCGCATTTCGTAGTCGAGTGAAACTCGAATACCATCTAATTTCTTTTTCAGAAGATGGCAGTGAACTAGTATTTTGATTGAACTAATCTAGACAAATAGAAAAATATTAATTGTTTGATTTAGGGTCGAGATAAGGCCCCAAACAGACCAAAAAGATACAACAGAATTAACCACTAAATCGTCTCAAAAAGATGACTTAAGTGTGAATTAACCAATCACGTTGCTTAATTCTGTTTTATTTTTTTGGTCTGTTTGGAGTCTAAGCTACATACAATTCGTAAATACACGAGCGCTATCAACAACATGAATTACGTTGACACTGCTGCCAGTGTATGCAGAAATTGTATGTAGCTTATCTCGACCTTGATTTAGTAGTTGTTTTATTATTTTTTTTTATCTGCGTCAAATAAAAATAAGTTTATTAACTTATTGAAAGATCAAAATGTTGTCGCGTTCAGTATCACTTCTTCAACAATTGACAACAACAAATAATTCCCGTCGGTATTTATCATTGAAACAATTAAATCGTATTATTAATCGAAATCTTGCTTGGTTTGCTGGACAGTCAACTAAGAAAACATTTGGTTCGTGACTACGATTTATTTATAGTTAGAAAATTTTATTTTTTCGAGAAAATCCTGTTTGAGTGATATTCTATTATGTATTTATTTCGTTAGGTGGAAGATTAAAACGACGTTTAAAAAATTTCCTTATTATAACTGTTGTTGGTTTCGGTACATATTATGGTGTTAGTAGCTATCGTCGGTATCGATGGTTTAATGAAATCAGTGACTCTGATAAGACTATGGGTACGAAACCACGTGTTGTCGTCCTTGGAACAGGTGAAACGATTGATTGAATTGTTCTTGTTTTGTTTATTTGAACGGTTCTCTGCAGGTTGGGGTGCTGTACCACTCTTGAAACATATCGATACTGAAAAATATGAAGTTGTATGTGTATCACCCCGAAATTATTTTTTAATGACACCATTGTTACCATCGGTTAGCGTTGGTACAGTTGAAACTCGAACTGTGATTGAATCGATTCGTTCATTGATTGGACCACGAATAAAATATGTTGAAGCACATTGTGTTAGTGTTGATCCAAAAGCAAAAGTTATTTCGTGTAATACCGATGGAGAACAACCAATATCACGTGGTGATGATGTTAAAACTATATTAATACCATCAAGACGTGCCGGTGGTTCATCATCAAGAATAATTAAAGATTCTAGTGAATCAATTCACTCCTTTTTTTTTCAGAAAGATCTTTATCTTTCTTTTTCAATATTTATGTAGCTCGGGTTCGACCATCATTTGATATGAAATATGATATACTTGTTGTATCTGTTGGATCAGAGAATAATACATTTAATACACCAGGTGTTGAAGAACATGCACATTTTCTCAAGGAAATTCTCGATGCTCGACGTATACGTTCAGCAATTAGTGATGCTTTTGAATCGGCTATGACACCAACGCAAACACCAGCAGAAAGAAAACGTCTCTTACATTTTGTTATTGTTGGAGGTGGACCAACAGGTGTAGAATTCGCTGCCGAAGTATGTCTATATTGAACTGTTGTATCACTCACATCTAACAAGATGAAATAATAATTTAAATGTCTTATATTTTAGTTGGCGGATCTAGTTCGTGAAGATCTTCAAATCTATTTTCCACGTCTTGTTGCCAATGACGTAAAAATAACATTGATTGAAGCACTTGATCATATTTTATCAATGATGGTTTGTAAAGTCTATTTTAATTATCAAAAATAAAGGAAATTTTTCAGGACAAACAAATCAGTGATTATACTGAAAGACATTTTCATCGTGAAAATATCGATGTATTAATGAATACATTTGTTAAAGAAGTTAAACAACGTGAAGTTGTTGTTCAATTGAAAGGTTCAGACGAATTGAAATCGATTCCGTGCTCGGTTGTTGTTTGGGCAACGGGAATTAAACCTCGAGCACTAACAAATAAACTTCGCGAAATAATCGGTTTAGATATTCAAAGCAATCGAATGGGGCTTCTTACAGATCAATATTTACGTGTAAAAGGCGTTGCTGATGGTTCAATATTTGCTATTGGTGATTGTGCTACAATTCAAATACCGAAACTAGTTGATCGCTTTCAACTGTTATTCGAAGAAGCCGATACTGAATGTCGAGGCACACTTGATCTTCAGCAATTTCGAGCATTAGTCGAAAGAAAAATTGCAGAATTTCCACAAGTATTTAATAGCTTTTATTTTGCTCATTTTTGATAAAAATCCAATTTTCTTTTTTCTCTTTTAGCTTGAAATAATTTCCAAGAGCATCGAAAAAGCATTTGAAGAAGCTGATAAAGATAAATCTGCTACTTTAACACTTGCTGAACTTCATTCAGCTCTTGAAAAGGCAGATACAAAAAATCGTGTGCTACCAGCAACAGCTCAAGTTGCATCTCAGGAAGGTAGTTTTGTAGCTGATTTGCTCAACCAATTAAATGATATACAGTCAAATAATTACGAACAGCAAAATTTGAAACCATTTCGATATAAACACATGGGTTCGTTGGCATACGTTGGTGGTGATGAAGCAGTCGTTGATTTTACTGGTTCAAAACCAATACTTGATATGTTTAATTTAAAACCGATATCAGGACGTAGTGCTGCTTATTTATGGAAATCATTTTATCTCACTGAAATGTTTACTGGCCGAACGAAAATATTACTTGCATTCGATTGGGTTCGTACTCAGTTTTTCGGACGAGATATTAGTCGATATTAAAGATAAACCTCTAGTTTGCTTTTCTGACAGGATCCCATTCAATTTTTTGCAAACCTTGTTTTATGTTTTTTGTCTTTTACTTATTCGCGCAGCACTGCATAACAATGCGAAATATTCTATTTTTTTCACGCTAATATTTTATTCTTTGAAAAAAAAGCAAAAAATATGTTTGTTCGCCATTTTTCTTCTTTTGATTATAATCGAATGTTGCTACTAATCTCCATTCTTGTTTTGACATTAAATTAAGTAATGAAGTCCAACTATTCAATGAAGAAGGTTTTAATTGATATTCAATTATGCAGTAGTCGTATTGAATGGTTTCATTCGTTTCGATTTGTTCGAATAACCAATAAATGGTAAATGAAGTATCCAATGAAGAACTCATAAGAGGTATTATTCCACATAAGCGATAGCCTAAATTTGAATAGTTGATAAATGGATGAAGCCATTCAAAATTTTCTAATATTGTTTTTGACATTGTTGTCGAACGAGTTAATTTATATCGATTACCTAGCATTAGTTTTTTCCCATAGATTATATGAGCTTTTAATTCTAAATTGAATCGAAATTTACAAAAGAAAAAAAAAACGGAAAAAAATTTACTTGATGTATAGATACATAAGATATGTTTTTCATTGAATTCTTCAATTTTTTCTTCAAGTTCACTTTCTGATTGTAAAGAAACCGTTTCAATATAGAATTCGCTTGTTGTTGATGATTGATCATAATAAACTGCAGCGATTTTCAGTGTTGGCAATGTTTTCGATTGAGATTTTTGATTGTTATTAGCTAGATTAACGGGAATTTTAAATATATGTGTAAGTTCTTTACCATACGAATCTTGAAGAAGTAAATATTGCAGAAGAGCATGAGTATCGATTTCATTTGACTCGAATGGAGTAGCTGGTATATCAAGTTGAATACAATAAACCGATGAGTTATGATGATCACACGATGATGATGATGTTATTGTTGAGTTTGATGAAGACAAAGAAACTTTTCGAGGAAAAGATTGTTTATGCTGTGAAAGAGTTTTTTTTCTTTTTACTAAATCCGATGATAGATGCAGTTGTCCGAGAATGAGACGAAATTCTTTTCCAATAACTATTCGCTGTTGTTGTTCATCGTCTTCATGACGTTCGTAGCTACTTCTTGAATTGCCCATAACACTAATAGTAATAACACCACGCCCGACTTTGATCAAGACATTTATAACATTATCACTTTACTTTTTACTTCGTTTCGCTTTTTATACATATATATATATATATATATATATCTTGTGCCTACACACATAATAAAAAAAAAAGAAAAAGAAGAAAAAGACGAAGAAGACAGCGCCTGTCTGTCTGTCGTTTTTTTTTCGCTTATATTTAACCTAATTGAATAATAATGTATATGCATACAGGAGAGAGAAGGAAATCTTTCAATCACATACATTAAAACGAGGCGGAGTAGAAAATGAAAAGAAAATGATTGTCTATGTGCATTGAATGAGAACATAAAGAAATTGTATTCTAGATTTTAATTTTTTTAATCAAGCAAAAAGATAATAATAATGGATGTGAGTATTGTCAACAATGATTTTTATCTATCAGGCATGGCAGCATTGATTGGTGACATCGATAGTAAGGAATCAAACATGTGTAGTTAACTGTACATATATATATTTCTATGATACGTGTTTGCTTAGAACAGTTGATGGTTATGCTACGTGATGGTCGAACATTTATTGCTTTTTTAAGAAGTCTTGATCAATTCGGTATGTCTAACAATTGAATAGAATTCATGCCATTTTCAAATAGATATAAAATATTCTTGGCAAAATGAAAAAAAGATGGATCGATTTCATGAGATACTATTACTGTTAAATCGCTTGGGATATTCTTACGTATGAAATTGAAACCTAGGGATTAGTCATGTCTTTGATTAGCAGATTTTTATTGAGAATTTTTAATTTTTTTTCTTAGGTAACCTTGTTCTTCATCAAGCCTTTGAACGTATTATTGTCGGCCAACAATATGCTGATATTCCTCGTGGTCTGTTTGTAATACGTGGTGAAAATGTTCTACTTATTGGTGAATTAGATTTCCATCGGCCATTACATGTACCGCTCTATGAAGTAACGATTGAAGAAATTCTGAAATTACAAAAACAAGATCTCGAAAAAAAAGATCGCATTGAAAAACTTCGACAAAAAGCAATGGTTGAACACGGCCTTGTTGATGAAGGAAATCCAATTGAAGAACATTATTAGGAGAGAAAAAATCAGAAACCTTCTTTTTATTGTTTTCACTTTTTATACAGATAAAATAAAAACGAAAAAGCCGGTGCATCGATGTTTTCTTTTTACTAGATCGAAGTTAAATATAAATTGATGAAATTCATTTCGAGTTCAAGAGTTTTCTAATTTTAGATGAATGAGTATCAAGAATTAGATCAGAGTGATAACGAAGAGATAGATGATTTGATTCCTAAAGTTTATCTCACATATAGACGTCGATGGTTTTATCTATTTGTTGTTTGTTTAGCTCAAATATCGAATGCATTAGTAAGTTAACATGCTTGTATCAATTACTACAACAATATCCTTATAGATTTGGATTAATTTTTCACCTATTGCAAATTTGGGTGTAGAATATTATAAAGTTAGTTATGATGCCATTAATTGGCTTAGCTTGATGTATATGATTGTAGCAATACCATTTACATTGCCATCAACATGGCTAATCGATAAACTTGGTGTTCGTGTTGGGGTTCGATTTGACATGATCTTTACGTAATAGTTTCTTTGACAATGTCTCTATTCTGATAGATGTATATTGGCGTTTGGATGAATGCGATTGGAAGTGTTATTCGATGCTTCAGTGTATTGGCATCAATTAGTACACAAGGACGATTTGTGATACTGATGTTTGGTAAAATATGGAATAAATTTTGTTATTCGAAATCAAATGCATGATTAATTTTAGGACAATTTATTTGTGCTTTGGCACAAACATTTATTTTATTTATTCCAACAAAATTTTCTTTTGTATGGTTTTCTGAAAAACAACGCTCATTAGCTAATGCAATTGCTATTGGAAGTAGGATTTCGAGAAAAAGGATACTATAAAATTTTGTTGCCGTCCTTCTTTAGGCAATTTCTTTGGTATTCTTCTTGGTAGTATTCTTTCACCCATTATTGTACCTGACACAAGCAAAATTCCATTATTGGTTTGTTTTATTATCTACATATTTTTTTTTATTTATGTTTTCTAAAAGTTGTACTTAAGTGTCATACCGGCTCTATTAGCTGGTATACTTTCACTTGGGATACGATCAGCAGAACCACCTACACAATCTTGTAAAGCAGTAGTTCATATACCGCAGCCATTTCTATTATCTTTAAAAAGAGTAGGAAATGAATGAAGTCAAGTTATAATTTATCATGTTTTCTAATTTTTAGCTCTATCGATCAAAATCTTATGTTGTTTTATTTATTGGTTGTGGCATTGCAATTGGATGTTTTAATGCACTTTCAACATTAGTTGAGCAAATGATGTGTCCATTTGGCTATGATAATGTAACGGTTGGAATTTGTTTAGGATTTTTTATTGGAGCAGGAAGTTTAGGCTCATTGGTATTTGGTTATTTTGCTGATAGAACTGGAAAATTAGAAGAGATTTCGAAAATATTGTATACAGCAAGTTCGGTGGCCTATATTCTTATTGTACTGGTATGAAAATTACTTGTGAAAGAAATAAAATGATAAGCTTTTCATTTTTTAGTTTATTATCAATCGAGTACCGAGATATTTCATTTATTTTGCATTTGCTTTTGTTGGTTTTGTATCCTTACCGTTATCGCCTATATCAATGGACTTATGTCTTGAATGTGTTTATCCTATACCGGAAGCAACTGCCATTGGAATTAATGTCATGGCTAGGTAAATAAATAAATCATTTGTTCAGCAAGAAAAAAAATGATCGAATTCGACAATAGAATTCTGCGGTTTTTTTTACTTATTTCTTCGACTTGAAGTCTTTCAATTTTAATATTTATATTATTGTTCGAGTATAGTCAAATAATTGGAATTTTAATGGTGGTGATTTTTCCAAAATTCGGCCGTCCACTGAATGAATATGAAACGGCAATTGAAACATGTTCAAGAGATACGAAAGATAAAATAGTAGCATTAAATTATTCAAGTAAACTATTCGTTTATTTAATCAATGTAAAATAAGATATTTATTTTTCTTTCGTATAGTTCCTCTTTATATCATGGCATTTATTATGGTTTTGGTAACGTTGTTTTACTTTGCTTTTTTCAAATGTAAATACAAACGCCAACGCCAGCATTGAATGCGTTTTATGTTTTATTTTATATACGAAGACAATAATTAATTATAAAAAAAAAATTTTATTACTCGATTTCTCTTTAAGATGGATCGATTGCCATATGAACTTCTTTTTTCAATAGCTACTCATCTTGATTCACCAAAAGATTTATGTTCGTTGTCTCGAGTTTCGTCTGTGTTTTTGTCTGTATCACGTGATGATCGCATATGGAAACGTCTATGCTACCGATTGTACAATGTAAACCCGCCGCTAGATGAACTCAAACAAAATTTCTACAAGTAAGAATAGTATTATTGACAAGAAAATAAAAATAGAATTTGAAGTCTGTTTATAGTTTATTTACCAAAATTCTTGCACCATATGGTCGATATCTTGGCTATTGGAAATCAAATGAGATGTATTATGGTGGTCTTATTCATGTGCAGTTGAATATATCCGAGGAAACTATTATTGGCGAAAAATTAAACGTAGTCAATGTTTCTGATGGTATAGCTCAAATGTTTTTTGCCGATGAAGATGATAGTGATGACGATGGCGATGCTGACGAAGAAGCCAATGAATCTTTTTTTAAATCTATGTATCAAAAAACGAAATTATTTACTATTGATAGTACATCTAATCAAATATTGTGCCATCAATGCGACACAGTTCATAATGAACTACCATGGATAAAAACATTTGATTCAAATCAACAATACTTTGGTTTATCACACGAAGCATTGTCTGTTAACGAACGATCATTGTTAGTTTCGCATGATCACAATTTTATGGAGGGTCCCGAAGGACGTGATATCTATTTTTCAAGAAATTGTTTAGATGGCTCTACTGTTTATCATCCTCTTTCAATTCCTCGGCCAAGCACCACAAATGCCGATCATCCATTATCACGTTTTAACGGACTTTGGATAGGATCGTATGGTGGTCATGGTCTAGAATTAATTCATGTTGAACTTTGTCATGATTTCATTTGTCCGGCAACTGTCGATGGGAGATCGAAAGATGTAGAAATTATTTCAAATGCTTTAGTCGGTAGAAAAATCTCCGGCGATCCTAATGTACCACATAGTCAAATATCCTTTGTTGCTACACATCCTATTGAAGTTGTTGATCAGAATTCCCCAACATCTTATGAAGGCATTGGACAAAGTAAGACACTCTATGATGTAAACATAGCTTCTGTACTGGGTTTCTTTTTTTAGTTGCACATACAGGCTATGTTGATGCACAATTTATTCGTTCAAAAATACTTCCCATATCAAACGATGTACTTCAAGTTACTTGGTATGCTTTACATCATACATCATTCTTTAAACGATGTTCATTTTAATTGCTTTGTATTCGTTGTTGTACTATGATTGTAATAATAATAATAATAATAATAATAATAATAATACTGGGTGTGGTTACAAAATGGTTCTGTTTGAGGGTGAGGGTGTGGATATTGGTACGAAGAAACGATGGATTCATATCTCACCCCGGCATCAACGCATACCAACACCCGAATTTTCTCAACTGTAAAACAAGATCAAAGAAAACTGCATTGCTTCTTTTTTGTAGCTAAGAGTTCAACGATTTAAAATGAAGTAAAACTCTTCCTCCGATGTCTTTTATTTAGAAACTAGATAGACGTACCATCACATGTTTCAATCGATGGTTTTTGATGTACTCAAAATATTTGTACTCTATAGGATTTTCCCAGCTCAGCTAACTTTAGATTCAATCAAATCACATTTTTATAGTCAATTTTTTGTGCTGATCATGAATTTGGAATCATATTTTCGATTTAGACCAACGACTGAAATATACAAAGCCGATCATGCATCCCTATGAATAACGATGATCGTCGCTTTTCAACCTTTGTGGTACAGACTAACTATTTTTGCTGGTGTTTTTGTCTGTATAAGTAATACATTGGATGTGGGTGTGGGTGTGGGTGTTAGGTGTGGGTGAATTAAAGAAGTTGAGATCTGTGCATCCACACCCACACCCACGGCCATACATGATCAACCAAGCTCCGGCATTCTTGAAGAATTTCCAGGATATAAAGATCCAGTATTGGTGAGTTTATTCATTTTTTGCATTTTATTTTCATGTAATAGAAGGATTTCTTTAACAGGTTTTCGAGGAAATAAAAATTACAATGGGAGTTGATTTACGTGCTGTTGTACGTCGACAAATACCCGTTTTACTTGAAAAAATGGTCGAAACACCTATTTTCATAACAGGTAGTAGGCCGGGGTGTGTGGATGTAGGTGTACAGATCTCAACTTCTTTAATTTACCCACACCCACACCCAATTAAATACTTATTTGCAGAGAATTTCTCTCTCAGAAAAAAAAGTCATTTCGAATCGAAAGAAAATATACATTTAAAAAAATACTTGTTTATTTAAAAAATCATTTAAACGAAAAAGTACTTGAAATGAGACTAAGCCAAAAAAAGAACAGTAGGATCAATGTAGTTTTAAGGTTTATATGCACCTCAATAATGGAGATTGAAGAGCAAGTGACATGTGCAGTTTTGTAGAGAAAAGTTTGCTCCATCAAATAGTATTCCATGTAAAAAATTGTATGTGAAAAATCGATTACAAATCGATTATAATCATACGATTTTAATCAATAATTTCAGCTGCAATAATCATAGAAAAATCAATATTTAATCGATTATTTCCATTAGTACGATTGTAATCGATTAAGAATCTTTTTTTTAATTGATTTTAATCATAATAATGGAAATAATCGATCAAATACTGATTTTGCTATGATTATTGCAGCTCAAATTATTGATTAAAATCGGATGATTATAATCGATTTTGACCTCTCTAAAACTGATTTTTTTCAATACTTTTTTTTACATGGGATCCTACTCAAACGATTATGATAACCTATTCGGGAAACAATTAACAAATACTGACTTACGAAATTTTGGAAAAAAAATAATTGCTTTGTTTTTGCATTCAAACCCTGTTGAGGATACATTCAGGGTATATTTCATAACTTCTCAAAGGTAAGCTAGAATGAACTAAGATTTTTGATTTAAAGATTTCTCACTTTGCTCTTTCATTTGCAATTATAAAAATATAGGAGTCAATATTTTTGAGGCTATGGCTCTATTGAAAAATGTTTCATATTCTCGTAGATCGTCTCTTAAAACCGAGCGAAGTTTTTCCTCAAAGATTCTCATTTAGCATGATTCGAGTGGAGGAAATAATTTTGTTTGTCATAAGAATTCTTTTTTTCACTGTTTTCGAATCAGCTTTTAGAGTACAAATGAACGGAAAACTAAAAAAAAGAATGGTCAATAACTAATCTGAAAAGCTTATTTGTATTGGCAATGCTTTTGACCTTGTCGAGCATTTTAAAATAAAATGAATATGACATTTATGATTATCAATTTTGATAACTTATAGATCAGAGAAAGGTTAACGATAAGAACAAAAATTGTTTTGTTGAGAATCCACTGAATAATCACAGGTTAAAACAAAAATTTTTCGAAAAAATTTCATTTGATTTCGGTAGAAAGAAAAAGAAAATAGTGCACTATATGTTCAGAATTTAATGCTAATTTAAACCATCTAATTGTTTGTTTTATATTCAAAAATGAAAAATAAATGGTCTTAACAGCACTTTTACGTTGTCAAAAGACTATGCAAATAGTGTTCATGTGTTTGAAAATAATACGATAATCGAGCATAAAAACCTATACTACTGTACTATTTAAAAGTATTCATTATTGAAAAATTTCTTTTTTTTATTAGTTTCGAAGAAAAACAAATTCAAAGTTTTATTGTTCATACAAATTGTGTGAAGGAAAATAATTAAAAACAAATCATCTGTAATAGATATTAAAATATAATACTATATAATTGTACGAGGGAAATAATCAAAACTTTTTTTCACTTATAAAATGAGAAATAAAAAAAATTCATATTTATTCTATATGATTCAGTAAACGATGATATATAACAATGATTTCTTTCTTTCTATTATAGACAAATGGAGCAATGAATTTCTTTTGCAATGAAATAAAATTATAGAAATGATTCTTTTATTATAATCTTATCTTGTTTATTAGAAATAATAGAAATTTCTTCTAAATATATAAAAACATTTTTATTATTATTAGATCATCATAAATAATACTTCGTATATATATATATACTTCATTGTTGATAATATCATTGGACTAGTTCAAATAAAAATAAAGATTATCATCAATACATATTTTTTGTGCTTATATACTAATAGATAGTAAATATATTTGAAGACTTTTTGTTTTTTAATCATTTCTTAAAGGCTGACGGAGTAAATCAAATGAATTAACAAAAGTACATTCAGATGTTTGAAAATTAATTCATTATAAAAAGAAGATCTATCTTATTCTTATCAATCATATGATATGAAATAAATAAGCAATAATTTATTGAATGAATGAATTTTTTGTTGAATACTTAATAATTTTAATTCATTATCAACTTGATTAATGCAATCAAAAATTAAATGAAACTTTTTCATTGAATTTTCTATTTAATATTGATTGAGTATGTGTGTTTATTTTAACCATAAATGTTGTTCATTTATAAGATGACAAATTGTTGATTGAGAAAAAATATTTTTTTAACTCTACTATGAAAACAGTAAATCAAAACCACATAAGATTTTTCAACTATTTATTTAGATGTTGATTCAATATAACTATATCTGCACGAAAGACAAATACATATAGAGAAAAAAAAGCTAGCACATATTTTATATGAAAGAAATCTAATGGAAAATATGTCAATCGAAAAGTCTGTATTTTATACATATGTATGATAAACAATGAATATGAGACAATCATTGAGAACAAAAAATGAAGAAAATAAAGAGTACAACATAATGAAGACAGTGGATTTGATTTCTAGAACGAAAAAAAAACTACATAATTTTGAATGCTCACATCATGGAGACTTACAATCATCAGGAACTCTTCGTTTCATGGATTGTCGAAGTAATTCGAGTTTTTTTCAATTGAAGCAACTTGTTTGTTCTGTTGTAAGAGTTCTTGTTCAAGACGTTGAATTTCTAAAATTATCAACATCATAATCGTATATGTGAGAAATCTAAACATCTACCTTTAGATGTTTCTTCATCTTTTAAAGCATTGAGTTGTTCTTTTAATTCGCTGTTGAACTTATCATCATGACTAATATAAATATTAGCTATTTGCTTGACCAATTGATTACTTTGATCATCATCGAATGCTATAATTCGAGAAAATGAAAGTTTTTGTAAATCTTTTGTCGAAAAATGTTCAACGACATACTGAAGTTTATAATCGTTGTTACCAAAAGTATCGTCATCATACGAATAAGGTTGAATTGATATCGGACCTTTCCAAATGTCGCTACTATTGAAAAAAAGAGACGCGAAATAGTTAGAAAAACAAATAGTAAGTTAACTTACCTTAAAAAGATGTATTGATAGTTTTCTTTTAATTCTAAGAACTTTCTTCTTTCTTCAAGATCACTGAAGGATACATAGCCGTAACCTATAGAAAGGTCGGCTATATCTTAAGGTATACCCCGGGTCGATCAAAACGGACCACCGTAATCCAGCATAACATTACCGTAAACAGTCGTTTTTGCATCGTATTCCGTCGTAAAACGGCCGTTTTAAGCCGAATTAAGGCGTTTTAACAGGGGAAGTATTACGGCCATATACAGACACCGTATATCAGCCGTAAAACCTCGTAAAGCCGGCGTAATATTATCGTATTCTATAGAACATACGGCCGTATTACTGCCCCTGCTATACGAGGAAAATACGGCACGTAAAACGGGTCGTATTTGTATCGTATACGACCGTTTACCGATCGTTTTCTTCGACCGGGGACAGACGTCTTCAACCGAACTTGTACCAACCCTTTCCAAAGCTTGTTTTAATTGATCCTCCTTTATGAATTTTGGTAAGTTCAATATGGTTATTGAATCCTAAACGATCATTAATGGAACGAAAATCGAGTTTTTTCTTTCATCAAAATAAAAAGAAACACTTGCATTTTTATAATCGAGTCCTAAGAATCAAGCTGTAATACCAATTGTTATTTTGTTCGTCCTGAAGCAAAGAGAAGAAAATACATTTAATATTATTAGATGATTTAAATTGAACAAAAAAGATATATTAATTTTTCTACATACACGGAATTCGATAGATCATCATAATTGTGCTGATACAACTCTATTGGTGCGACCGATAGAAAAATAGCAAGAAAACGCTATAGAGGCAGTTTTAACTCAAGCAGCTATATCGCTTATTGTTCAAAGGTGATTTTGAGTTGGCTATGGAGGATGAAAAATATTTTATGCTGCACAATGAATTTGTACCAAAATAATCGTGGTTATTATAAAGTATCGGCAATACAAACTTCGATAAAGCATTGGTTTTTGTCGTTTTTCTACACCATTTAATAGAACTGGAGCTGCTGATCGCGAAAATCAACTTTTTAGCATTAGGAGAAACTTTCTTCGGGTCGATAAATACGAAATACTTAAAAGTAGTGCTTTTCGAGAAAAACATATATTTTTCGAAATGCGTAGAAATTTTCTATTTTCTATTTTTTTCAGATTCAGCATAAAAAACTGCATACAGACAAGTTATTAAATCGCACCCAGACGGGTGTGGGTGTGGGTGTGGGTAAATTAAAGAAGTTGAGACCTGTACACCCACACCCAGCGAAACAAAATTCTGCATTTGTGTTTATTAATTTTATTCAAGCACACTGATCTCTTATCTTATCTAATTTTCAACAAAGTTGATTCCTGACAGGCAAAAATTGACAATAGCAGATTGATTTGCATCTGACAGATATAGATCTACCTGTTTTTTTTTCGATTTACTCAAATAATCTCAAAGTGAAATAACAATGTTTTTTAAATAACGTCTTCGCGGACCATTTTCCGTTGTGAATATTGTAGAAAAGAAATGAAACAAATATTTAAATAAATAAGTACTTATTGTCTAAACAAGGCTGTCTGCCAGCATCTGGCCACTCTCACTCAAACCACACAGTGACTAAGCATATTACTCATCAGTTGGTTTTTTCAGTCGTGTTGAGTATTATGCAGATTATTACCTTACGATTTTTGATGGATTGCTTTCGAATTTTCTTGTGACAACACCAATGATTACCTCTGCTATTTTCTAACTATTATCAAGTATAATTAACAAAAATAGAAGCTACCTGAGCTACGACAAACAACATGTTGTTGTGAGCAACAAAATATTTATTTTTGCGTTACTGACTTGTTATGATCGGATGATAGGGTAATTGTAAGCAAGATAAAAGAAAGATAATAGTCATATAATTTCAAAGGATAAAATTTCTTTTCCAAAGGCGCATTAATCGTATAAATTTATAATCGTTTTGCACTGATGCTTAACAGTTGTGCTACTAGAAAAGAAAAAAAGTAAGCTTTGATCGTGTCGTGGCTTCGACAAAAAAAATGCTGTTTCGTACGGTTGAGCATATGTTTTAAGAAGTCATCTAAATGTTAAACGATTTTTTAATTGATACAATATTTCGTGTGGACACACTTGAATAATTTGTGCGGAGAAAAAGAAGTATCTATGATTTTTTAATAAATGAAAGATCTCATTTGCCATCTGATGATCCGCGTAGTTCCAGTGAAATCTAGATTATGGTAGCTGTTCACACCCACACCCTTCATTCTATAATAATCAAAGAAAAATTAAACTCAAAATTACTCTTGTTCAGAAAGTTCTATAGATAAAAGACTATACTTTCTTTTTGGAACAATGATATTTCTGTTTCTCTCTCATCGTCATGTTTCAATTGTCTCTGTTTTGTAATAAAAAACAAGAATTAATCATATTATCAGAGATATTTCTTTAATTGCATTTGTAAAAGAAATATTTTGTCATCAAAATAGATAATAATCTAGTTCACTTCAGTTTTCTTTTTTTTATCCTCTTTCACTTGATAATCATCTTTATTTATTCATGGACGAAAGATTATGAAATTAAATGAAACATAAAACAGTAAAATGCCATTCTATGATCGTGGCTTACTCTAAAAGTTATTTCTTTTTGAAACTATTGTTCTCTTGATATCAAAAGAGTAGTAATATTCGATGTATTCATAATCATAACCAGCAATTATTCTATCATTTACAATGAAATTTAACATCACAAAAAATGGGATAATGTTCGAACGTGTGAAAAGCACTGTAACATCTTTCTTTTATCCGTCATCTTCATTGTTGGATTGGTCATTATCACTCAAACAATTATCTCTCATTTTTCATAATTTCACTGAATCACTCTCTAGTAAATTCATTTGTCGTCCAATACAAATGTTCAATTTCGAATAACATCCAATGGAAAATAATAAATTCTTTTGTTTTTCTATCTTTTTCAATTCACTCTCTGGATGAGACTATAAAAGGTGGATTCTCACCAGCAAATTCACATCATTTCGTCGAAATCGAAAAGTATATTTCTACTTTTCTTGCTTTCTTTTAACAATCTTCATGGAATAGTGCTCATTTATCCAACAAATAAAAGGTATGTTAACTGAAATTTCTTTTCTTCAAACAATATCTCGAATATCATAGAGTATCTCTTTAGAATTTGATAAAATATTTTTAATAGAACCAGGAATAAATTTTAACTTTTCTTTCATCCATCGTTTGAGTCATTGATAAAAATTAATCTTCATTTCAAAATTCTTTTTTTCATTACTTTCTATATATTTATTACTTACATCGGGTACATAAAAAATTATTATCAGAGATTTCTTTCATTTTAAACATTTTTCTCTTTCATAATAATCAAATTTTCATACTTTCTTATCTCTAATAACGAAGAAAAAAGATTTCATTTATTACCTATTAAAAATAAGACATATTATCTCTTTCTTTCTTTTTCTCCATTGATCAGTCATCGAAAAAGAGCCACTTAGGTACGAGACGCTACATATCCTGAAAGATGGCGCTATATAACGAAGTCTATCTTATAACAAAAAATACCATTAACAATTCATTTAACTGTTCTTAAATTCTTCGTTATCATTCAAATATCTTTCTATAAAAGGTCATTGTGGTTATTCTCCATACTCACACCCACAAGGTATAGATTGATCTATTTTTAATTGATACATTTATTTCCAATGTCGATTATGAAAAAACATTTATTTTTATTTTAGTTATAAATTACTGAAAATTTATATTTATATTTAAATATAAATGATGAAATAAATTGTTATATTTCGAAATAAATATTAATTATGGCAAGCTTGATTAATTTTAAACAGAAATTACGAAGAATTCAATTTATCCATAAATTAAATTAAAAGCTATTGCAAATAGACCCCCTTGGTGTTTACTAAAATCCATTGAGTCAGTCAATTAAAGAAAGAAATCTGTTCCTTGTATGAGTTTGAAAACATTTTATTTGAATTAAATAAAAATAAACTACAAAAAATTTTAAAATTAGAAAAAGATATAATGGTTAGATTAATATTAAGAAAAACAAGAAAGTATACTTTAGTGTCTCTTTTTTGTGTCCACTTGAACACCATATGTCGGCTCCACACTATAACGAAAGAAACCATAAACTATCTCCCATTCAATTTGTACAAAATAACTTACTTTTTTTAATATTCATATTCATATATTTTATTGACACTGTAAAGCGAAAGGCATTTCAACTCAATTCTGAAATGGCAAAATAAACAACTCAGCCATATCATTGTATCGAACGATTATGTTGCTCGCATTAACACATATGATGTAGATAATAAAAACGCACGTGACCACTTAGCAATGAACATTTCTTACCAATCTTCAGTGCAATTATGTGGTTACATACGTACAAGTAACTTCGATTCACAAAAATAGCATTAATAACGTGAAAAATTAACGAAACACAGCAATCGTCAGCACAGTTACATCACGTCTATCAAGACAGATCGTCATAATAAAGAGTAAATAAATAATCACATTACCTATAAATACTGCTCAATATTTAGTACATTTATCTTCAAAAAACAAAAATGTATTTCTGTGATAATTAGCTTAATCGAATAATACAAGAAACATGAATAATTTCAAGCATTTGATAGTACATTTTTCTCTTCGCTGTGAACAAAATGTTGATAGTTCAAAGCTCACCATAAAGTTATGTCAGTTACGAATATTTGTAAGGTAGACTCTATTCCATTACTCTACAAAAGCATGGCCTTCCTATAGTCAGGCAATAACAAGTCTAAGAATGATATGAAAAAAGAACTGTTTCTCCGCAAAGATTTTGTTCATATGTTTTTTTTCACTTGTTATCTATTATA